TAATAAACTTATTAAAAATTATAACTAGGTGAATTGCTATTCATACCTAGCTTCGGCCGACTAAAAAACCATACCAGTAACAAGAGATTAAAATAAAAAAAATACAGGAAAACTTATAAGGTTTTGCAAAAGGCTCAAGTGGTGAACCGCTATAAAACACCTGCCATTTCCTTTCCTTCGCCCTATATCTTGTTTTTTACATACCACGCAAACAGGGAAAATGTTATCAAACGAAATACATAGTACATATTTGGACTACAATGTAAGTTCAAAAAATAAAGATTATTTATATTCCTATTTAAAATTATCTATTTAATTGGTTATATTCTTCACTAATTTAATGAAATACTACTGCAATGAATCGCTGTTCATCTCAAAATTTGTAGTTACACCAGTTGCAGTTACAACCTGCTAAATGCTAGCATTAGATAATTTCGCCATTTTACCATGTTATATCAGGTCAATAAAAATATTTAAATATATGAATAAAAATAATGACATATTTTTCTTTGAATAGGAAGATAAATTAAATAAATTCGCAAAAACACGCCGACGTGTAAATGCTGCATTTAAAAATGAAACCTCAATTTAATTAAGTGTTGCATTCGCTCGTCAAACATGACTGCATGCAGACGGTCTAATTTAGGGTGAGTTTTAGTGTTCAATGTAGGTATACCTGCGAGCCGGCTCAGACTGGCGTGGTGTAAAATTCGCTTCCCATCCACATCAAGTGCAAGTGCTTGTACAGTTTTTGAACAGTAAATATATGTATGTAAGTGTATTCGTAGGTACAGAATACTACCAGCCAAAAACATTATTACCTCCCGGATGGAATAAATATAATACAGGAATTTTATTCTATATATAATACAGGTCAACAATATATACTATATTTTCTGTGTCACTATAGTGTTGTAGGGAATGAGATTTCCCTACAACACTATAGTGCCTTACAGTATAGGCCTACTCCAGCGACTTCCTATTTTTGTCGAAAATGCGCTAACTCTTCTCCATTTTGTGCCCACAGTTAATTTCCACTCATCTTCCTATTTCATTACAAATATTTTTCTTTTTGTTGTTTTCTCATTTTACTACTAAACCAGCTGTTCCGAAGGTAATGTATCACACTTTGTATTTTATTAAGTACGACTTGATAACCCATCTGATAATGTAATTAATAAAAAGATTGACATAAGTAGCAAGCATTGTCTATACAAGTACAACGCAATAGAATACCTAATACATATAAATCTCTTGAGTTTATATTCTGAAGGACTAAGATGTTATGTTACAGGTTACAGTCTCTTTTTAACCGCAACATATCTTACAAAGAATCCTCATTTCTGATGTGGAAAGCATTTCGAACTGACGGTAGATATGTATGAAAAAATAAAAGAAAAAAATTGCAAGTTGCTAGGCTGCGGAAATATGATAGACAGAGGTACCCAAGCAGATCATTTTGTACATACAGACTCGGTCTGTTGTTCTAATTTCAAATCATGCATATAGATAAACTGTTTTCCGAAACATTGTTCATCCCGACTTACCGATAACCATTAGGAAAGCTTCAAACGGACGCCCAGAGGACCGCAAATAGTAACAAACCACGTCCGTAACTTAATAGTTAGGACGAATATAAAATAGGGATGTGAAAAAATAATGTATAAAAAAATAATAGTTTAATTGCTTTTAATATTACGAAAAATTCAAATTATTTTGTCCACGTGGCCTAAAAAACCACAAGCCTAAAATATTACCAACAACAGCCACAGCTCAAACGACCCGATAATCAAGATTGTGAACAAATAATCTATTATGGAAAAATCTTTTATTTTTGACTAGAAATTTAAATTTAATTTTATCAATTATTATGCTAACAGAAATTATCGATTAATTAATCATAGATTTATTGTACAGACCGTCACGTCCCTAATATATCTACTCGTATAGAATAGTTTCCGACAAGCGAAAGCTCATTCCCGACTTGTAGGTTATCCAAACAATGTTCGCTTGAAGCAACGTCTGGCTTACCACTGCTACACCGGATTTACATTCAATCATTTTTCCATTACTGTCATTCTGTCTATTTATCATTTCAATAAATAATATAGAGCAGACAAGTTATGCTATTTGGTAGACAAGCATCAATCTATAATAAAAAAATTGTTGTAAAAAGTCTTTTGTCATTCTAGTCTATTCAATATTGCTCAGTTAATCCATAAAATTGATGTCCTGCTTTTAACTTGCTTCTGCATATTGCAACGTAGAGTAATACTAAAATACTGCAGTACAGATATTGGTACAATTTTTCAGAAGGTATGACCTTCTGTAATTGTACCTATATCTACCCAATCTACTATTAATAATACCATTTTAGACTGCTGACATGCAGACGGTCAGTTATTAGGTTATTTGTAATAACAATAATTATTATCATTGTAATTAGTCAAATATCTGCCCTGAGAACTGAAATGGTACAGTGTGAACTGTAGTAAAGATCCTAACTAGTGCCATCACATAAATTATCATTAACATTGTCATGAAAATATTATTCTTTAATATCCACATTAGTAAGTATTCGTGACTAGATATGTAACACGGTTATTACCTAGGGAGGCTTTCGACTATTTACGATCCTTAATACCTAATATACAAAATTACGTTTTTATTCAACTTCCACTTGTTGGATTAAATTAGAATTAGATATTTCAGCATGTAAAAAATAAATTTATCTTGATATCAATAGAATCTATCAACTAACTATGTACAAACCACCATCTAGACATGTTTCTATACGCTATTTTTAAAATAAGTACTTACCAAGAACATTTTGCTTTATCACACTTACTAAACTGTATTTTCCCTGCTTTGAATAAAGCCCTCGGTGTAACGTTTTTGATTTATGGGCAGTTACGTGACTATACAGCATTCTAAGTGTTGACCAATCGATAAAAAAAATTGTATCTAATATTTTATGAACTTCATTTCCTATTATAAGGTTTATTTCGACAAATACTACAACACTAAGAAAACTAAAAATAAATGTACAAGAACTCAATTAACAAGTAATTTTTATTACAACTTATATTTCAGTATCGGATTTTATTGAAATAAACACCTACTTATTTAATAATAATAAAAACAAATAATATTAAACCGTTGATATTGAAATTCTGATAATATCTATCGATATATTGTTGTGTAGAACTGAAAGAATTCTATTAATAGTGTTGCAAATGATACTTTTTTTTTAATGGGCAGGTATATTTTTCAACTCTTGATGACTAACCAGACAGCATTTTCTCTATTTCAATTTCCGGGAATATAATATGTAGATGTGACGTGTCCCACACATTGAGTTCGGTGAAAATGATGACTCACATAGTCATATTAAATCTTAAATTAACTCGGCTTCTTATGTAAATGATTATTATCAACATGATACTGTTAATAGTCATTTCATCTATATAAATTAGGATGTTATATTCAATCAATAAGTGATGGATCAATGATCCATAGTAGGCGGTCGGTGCCATTCCAAATATCATAATGTATGTGTTAATTTTGTACTAATTAGTTTAAATATATATTCATTTTTATAGTTACATTTATTATTAATGAGCGTAATACCTGTACCTATACGTACTTACGTATCATAAAATTGAAGTTGAAACAATTTTTAATATTCTAAAAATCTTCATTGCAGAACAATGAAGATTTTTGATTTTTTTCATCTAAGTCTGATGAGTAATAATTAACTTATAGTTAAGTAAGACAATAAAGTGTCTAATGGAAGCAGAAAAGTAGGTTTTTAATTTGTTAAAAATTTCATGTAACCGAAGTTCACATGTATATTTTTTGTTCCACATCGGGCAGTGGGGCCCCGTTAGCGGATAACCGCAAACGCGGTTCAGAATTACTGGGGCTCAGGATGCCTGCGGAGAAAACCCGTTGGATTCTGATATGGGTATCTGGAACTGGTTAGACGTGTACACTGACATACATTTTATCGCACGCTTTTGATCTTTTGTGCTCTATTGGTTGCGTGCAATTTGCTTCAAATATCTTTGTATACGATTATCAGATTTAAATTAAACCAGCACATAAATCAGAATTATTTTACGTATATTATTATTATATTAAAAAATCCTGACGTGAACATTAACTTAAAGCTACTGTTACTATAAAGAGATTTGTCTCTGTAAAAATATTACACGGGACATTGTAGTAATTCATTCATTATAGTTATATAATTATTTTACATGTAACTAGTGTCAAAACATTTGGCCCATCTGATAGTAAGAGTAAATGATAATAATGACGCCTATACACGTGAACAACATAGATATCAAGTCATCATGTGATGCCCGCGGTACCCTTAATAGTTTCCAATTCCGTAGAACTGGGATGTCATGCTTCGTACTATATAATTTTACTGCCATACATTTCTCACACTTCAAACGACAGCTTGCAAGGCAAACTGCTTGGTGGCTGAAATAGGTAAGACAGAAGTAGTGACGGCAGAATTACCAGTATTAGTACTATATATGACTGGTAAAGAGCAATTCCTTATGATTCAAGATTTCATTCTGCCGTGTCACATCACAATTTCTTTGTATGCAAATACTATCTTGTCTGGAATGGCTCGCTCTTTCTTTCAAATAACTAACTACCACCTTATTCGAGATTGATCGCTAACACTCAGAACAATACCTGAACACCGCAATGGTACGTTTGTTTTTGATGTAACCTTTCCTAAAATCTGTAACTTCGTGAAAAGAAACGGAAGTGTGTAGCAGGAAATCCGCGCTATTTGAGTTGACCAATAAGCGCGTGCATGTAGTAGAATTAGCCGTCAGATAGCACCAAGCCATTTTTCAAGAGGTTGATACTCAAAATCAGACATATCATACGCGACTACTGTATTCTACTATTAATCTTGAACGCCATTATTCCATATACCTGTGAGAACTATATGTGGCCATGATTGTGGTACTTACCATGGTATTAACTCCTTATTTTCCTCAAGACCAGAAGGAGTAGCCAAAGTGTCAGCATCACCTTCAGTCCTGCCTCCCGGGTGTTCTGGAATCACTCGTTCAATTGTCGTCACCTCCTCGATATCGGAGTCGATTCCTTGAGCGAAATCCATGTAAAATGACTCCCGGGAATCGCTAGAGCCGCGTCGCAGCTTCAACGACAGATCTGGCGAGCTGTCATCCATTTTGGGAGCAGTTGAACACTTTAATACATAATATACTAGTACCAGTCTCCAATTGGATTCATTCAAACTAAGTCATTTTCAATGTTGGTCCAGCGACATGAAATTACCCCATAGTGTAGCTATAAGTGCATTAAATTATATTATAAAAATGTAGTTCATGAACATTATTATTTCTTTAACATAGTTAATAAAATATTACGCAACAAGTTGCTAATAATTCACAATTGCAACAAGTTGAAATCAATCGATTTGCGATTTTGTATGAATTTATCGAGGGACAAGCAAATGACACGGTATACAATTTCAACTGTTAAATGTTTCGTAAATAATAGCAAACCCGTTTTAATCAATTTGAAATGAGTTATTTGTTAGCAAATTTGTCTAATAATTAAGATCCTGATTTAATTTAGGCACTTCAGCCACAAAATTCACACTATCGCTTGATTTTTTATCTGTTATTTCAATACAACTGTAGTTTATGTCATTCCCGACTCTAGGAAATATGACAATATATTTATTTAATAAATACCTACTTATCATGAAAATGTAAGTATTACATTCCAATAATTATTAGGTAGGTAAAAGATTTCCATATTTTTTATTTCTAATTTGTTTATAATATTTAGCCTACGCCTTAGAGCGACTATTGCTAAAGATGAGGTTTTAACTAAATTGTAGAATAAAATCTTTTTTTTATTTTATTTATTTATATACCTATCTGTAGAATTAAATACCAAATGTATACAAAACTGTGAAAACGGATGTCACTAGCGTAATAAAAAAAGTACAACTCCCAAACAATAGCAATTTATCTTAGCCGGTTACAAAAAGCGCTTTGAAGTAAAAAAGAACAATGACCTGTGAACAGTTAATAGTAACCTTCCCTAAAATCGACACGGCTAGCTGCGACCGTTCGACCGGGGCGTTAATGATGGGAGAGTAGACCACGCACCCGCTTCCCTAAATTACAATAAGTAGATGTATAAAAAAAGTAAAGTATATACGCAACTCTATGTCAAGACATTTTTCTTTAGAACACTTCACCTTTTTTTACTTTTACTCCGTATTTTTATAATTTTATTGTTGACTTAGTGACCCGCGCCATTTTATCTGCATTACATTTACTTGACTTTTATTACCTATAATATTACATATCTTTTAAATTATAACCTGCGTTATTCCGATGTATGAGCTATATTGCTGTAAAGTTTCATTAAATTCCGTTCAGTAGTTTTTGCGTGAAAGAGTAACCAACATCCATCCATACGTCTATTCTCACAAACTTTCATGATTGTAATATTAGTAAGATAGAAGCGAAGCTGTCTAATTCAACAACTAATTCGGTTTAGTTATAGGAAAAAAAATTATACGAGTATACAGTTAATTGACAAATTAAATGTGAATTGTACCGACCGCCCCTTTTCACCCTTTAATTATCCTATAGGACACCTCTCCGGTGCTTTGTTTATAATGAAATGAATGTGTTGAGGTTCTATTTCAATATACCAGTTGATATTTAGGTACTTGCTAATGTATGACCGAATATAATTTGGGCGATGTACATTGGTCATGTGGTTTCTTATTACATAGACAGATAGTCATAGCAATATCTAAGCTATCATTATAAGGATGTCACTCCTCCGTACAAAAATATGTAACTTTTCCCCAATTAATAAAGATAAAGGAAACAGACTTCAAAACTATTTCCTAACTTTATCTTTATAATAATAACTATGCCTACAATTGTATATGAAACTCGCAAATGTAATGTACCTATAAGTTAATTAAATACATAGATACCTAGTCAAAATCTACATTATTGCTGAGACATTAGTATATAAAAATAAAGTCTTTTCAGTACCAACGTATAGTAGCGATAAGCATGAATGACATCTGATAAATTGAATAACTTCGATGAATAATGAATATGTAACGTAAGCTACCCGTTACGTTCGGTCGACTAAAGGCGCCGAAATCCGGTATGAGACCCTTATTAGATAGTATTTGTCGACTCAGCGCTACGCCTTGTGAATACCAACGAAATAAGGGTTCTATAGAGGATTACTAAGCTTTATTAGAAATAAGTCAGGGTTTAAACGTCCAAATCTTCGGTTCGTCGATACGAGATCATGGCTTGTTATTAAAGCGTGAACGAGTTTTTTGTATGATACAAATACATACACAAAATAAACAACCAATCAATTGATAGGTGCCAATAAGAATTTAGATTTAATAAACAACGTTCAAGCCGGGCATCTGCTTTACGAAACATTACCAATAATGATAAGACTGCGCCGAATAACATTAATATTAATACCACATCCGTGAGCGATATTAATCGCAGCCAGTCCCTCGGGAACAACAATAATGCCCATGAACAAACATATTCATTTGCACAAGACTGACAATCGGGATATTCCTATGCTAGACACGCATCGCACCGGCGAACGTGTATTGACACGGAATAATTCAACGGAATCACTCACACATTGATACATTTGTAGGAGCGTAAGCACGTGGTATAGGAACGCGACGGGCGATAGCGGCGCCCTCCCGCGGCGGAGGTTGGCGCGCGTTTGCCGCGAGGTTCGGAACGCAGCGCGGGCCCCGCGGGAGGGCGGGGGATGCACCCTCCGGCGGCACGGGATCAATCTGCCGGCCGCCAGGACCCGCTAGCGGAGGGCCACGATTTTTGGAATACAATGCCATTGACATTAATGTCCGGGCACGGCCAGAAATTAAGATCTAATCAATGTCACCCGCACACAACTACAGACAGGTGGGTTGGTGAAATAAAACAACAATAATAGTAATATTCTAAATATAATTTATAACACCCTAATATATCGTAAATAAATCGGATTATACTTATAATATACAAATTTATATCACAATACTTTCTAGTCTTTATAATAATTAACCCATTCGCTTCATTTTAAAGAAATAATTGATGTAATAAATAAAAACAACAACTTTTATACAAAAAGAAGTTTCTACGAGGTATGTATGTTATATTTTTCGTTCGTTATGTTGTCCCTAAGGATTTACTGTATTATTTTAAATGCTATTAATGATAGGAAGATTAGATAATAATCTAACACTCTCCTTTTATACTTCAATTTAAAAATATCAACACAATCAGAAAATAATCCTTTCAAAATCTGATGAAACTACAATAATAATAATAAGTCTATAAATATGTATTGCGTATATGATAGCTATAAAGTGGACAGCTAATTTTATTTTAACCAAGTTTTTAATAGATTGATGTTTCAACGTGAAAAATGTCAGTTTTCAATATATGTATGTTTTCAATATATTTAAACTACGGCAAAACGTCTACTCTATGAAACTTTATTACCGAATGAACTAAAAGATCGACCGAGAGAAATAAAATTCCTATACAGATTAGGACTGTTCTTATGATACCGAAAAGGTGTTTATAGCGAGTATAATAACATCAAAGAGAAGTTCAATTTTCTAACCAATTTAGATTCCCATAAAAATTTTGTTCAAACTCAAAGACAAATTCTAAATCAAAATTTTTTTTAAATATTAAACTATTTCAAGAATAAGCCTCTTACATACTTAACATAAAAGTTAAAAAAAAACAGATATAATATTTTTGTGTTCAATCGAATCTGAATATTTTTAGTAATTATTATTTTTATATCTATAAATTCTACGTATTTTTAGATAAATTTCATTAAAATTGGTTTATTTAGCTTTGTGTTATTGAGCTTAAACTGTGGAATTTTATAAACAAATTTTAATAGCGATTTACGACGCCACCTAGTTCGGTTTTTATATACTTCACACAATATCGGGAGAGATCTTACGTGTACTTCAGTTAAGTTCAGTTCTAATTTACGAAGACTAGATGGCGATAGCTATGACAAATTACTATGTTGTCTCTATAAAATTAGCGTGCTTTAGGAATACAAACAGAAATTAAAGTGAAATATAATAAAGACGCAATTACATCTGAATCAGGAAATATAAACAAGCCCCTGTCAACTATAAATAAATTAGTAATTGTCAATATATTAATTTAAAAATGCTTTCATTGTATACATATATATAGATATATCTCAAGTAAACACAAGACACTATTTTATTCTCTTTGATAGAAGCATTTCAGAATTATGTATTTTTATATAATATAAAAATTAAAACAACTATGCAAAAAAAAAATACTGTGAAGGGTGTAATTTTTTGTTACTAATATTTTATACATGTTTTAATTAATGGGTTACTAATAAAAATTATAACAAATTAATAATAATATAGTTCTACGCTCATAATTATTAATGATATATTTATCAATATTATTAAGATTAATATTATTATAAATGTGTAAGTTTCTTGTAGATGTTTGGTATTTAAATATTTGGATACTCTATCACACTTTACTAACTGAACGGCATGTCATTGATATTAAAACTTGAAGAAACATAAAGTCATTAACTTTATAAAAAAAATATTCTTATGCGTTAAACGGCCTATACACGGTACGAGAATAAGTGGCTATTTTGCGTATCCGCCTTGATTTGGCTACACACGATCTAGTAAGCAATACCGTGAGTTCTCCATCAGCTATTGCCCGTGATTTTAGTATTTTATAGTTCGATGTTATTTTGCATTTCTCTATTTAATGAATTTATAATACAATAAGCGAAAATTTGACAACCGTTATGATCTTCTCTAATGGTGTTCAAATTCCGACCGTTATTGAGTCTACGCGCATATTGCGAAACGTGTTTCGTCTCACAACAAAGAATCATCAGGTTGACAGTACTTTGAGTCAGGTTTGGTCACTGAATATTTGTATCCACTAAGTTGCAATGTTAGTGTCGTGTGTAGGCCATTTTAACCAATAATTACATTATCCCAACGGTAGCAGGTATGAAATTTCGTATTATAATTCTTTAGTATAACTTATGTATTACATCATCTGAGTATGTAAGCGGTGAGCTTATATGTCATGCATTTATCGTTACATGTCGAGAATAACGTATCATCTAATTCGCTTGTCATTACACTAACAAACGATATGACGTATAATAAAGAAAAAAGAACATAATAGTGGCTATGGTTAATATTAGAATTAGGATTTTTTTTTTGTTTGTAATGTAATAACTCAAAAAATAGGCGTGTTATTTGAATCTATCCATTAATATTCAATTCAGCAATTTGTTGTATTGAACAACAAATTTTCAGTATTTGTCAAATAAGTACCTCCTTAACATGTCTATGTCTAAAGCTTTATACATATATCCATACAATTTTATTGATAATAATAATTAGATTTTCATACTTAACGAGGATACGAACAAAGTCATTTAATAAAACATGCAAAAAACATAAACAGCCGAAATCATAGCACAGAATAGCAAGCACATAAGTCGTTTGCAAGGGAATAGCCAAATGTGATATGTAGCAGAAGACTGGTCTTGTTATGTAGTAATACCTAGTCACTATTAGGGTTAAAATTAAAATGATGTACCTTCACGAAAGTTATTCTAGATTGGGCAAAGTAACTGTCGACACAGAGGTGTACGCAGCACTTGATATGCTTATATCTGAATCAAACGGTGATGAGCTTACCGCCTACTCCACGATTAGTGTGGTGTATTATTGATATTCCCATCACCGGATATCATGTTTAAATTAACACTCAATTTTTTAAAGATCATGTCGGCCAAAAATATCTAATAACACGACTTGAATCTCTATTAATGATAGCTGAGGATCTAAAAACACTGTATTAAATAATAGAACCTGCTGAATTTAATAGGCTTTGAGAATTAAATATTAGTCGGTGTCATTGGTAATTACAGATAAAACTATTGTTTGATTAAAGCAGCAGTTTAGATACCCCGATCTTCATTCCGAAAGTATGATCGACACATGTCTATAATAAAAAAACGAATAACTTTCCGTAATATAACACTCGATAGTACTATTTCATTACTAAAGCTGACAAGACACAAGTCCTTCAAGCGACTCTCCAGAGTAACATATTAAAGCCTACTTTAAACTATTATTTTGATAATATGAGAGTACTGTAGAATTTAAATTATCATGCTTGCTATTCTACAATGTGTGTAACAAGGTTATGAGAATAATTATAGTGTATTATGATTTTTAACCGACACAGGATTTCCACGCCAGGCCGCCGCATGCCATTGCGCCGATTAAGTACACAGCTAGGGCTGCCACCATTGCTATAATCACATACATCTTTATGTTTTTCCAAAACAGGGAGCGTTGAAGGGTCCTCGATGTGGATTGATAAGTCACCGACTGCAAAATAATAAAATAAATAGATAACACCTAATTACTGCTGTCAATAATATCGAAGTCTCAAAAAATCTTTATACTCGGATAAGGCAAGCCAGGGTAAATCAAGTTTCAAATGTGATAATGCTAATTTATTAATCAAACTATATTTAACTTGGGGGGTAGGCTATTGTCAGTAATGTGGACTGTAAACCGCTTTGTTAGCAACGTCAGGAAAGGCGTCGTCATTCTTGACGTCATTTTTGATCTTCACGTAGTTCCCCCTGAAAACCTCCATGATAAATTCGTGGTGAATATGTCACGATAGGCTAAGTGATCTGACCTGCTTATTTTATCATCCTCCACTGGTGCGCCGCCAGCGAAATACGTTAGCGCTAGCGGGTGAACCATACCATTATCATCCATTAAAATAATATTATATTTAACTTACATTAGTTGCCAAATTATCTGCTTTGTCCACTAGTAACTCCAGTTTTTCCCCTCGCATGGCCATGCTTTCTGCAAACAGAACATAAAACAGGTAAAAATAAAATAGTTTTATACAAATTAATTATTTGTAAAAAACTATTATATTAATATTGTTTTGTTGCTTGTCTGGGAAAATAATGTTGTTATATGCCACAGACCTCAAGCATGCATTAACAAAATATGTCATATGAATGAGGCAATTATATTTTATTGACAGCAATGCAATATATTATCTATACATCTATACATATAAATAAAATTGAAGTATCTGTTTGTAATATTGAAATAACCGTTTTTTACTCCATGCATATGAATATAAATACGGTACATACACCAAAATAACATTTTTTACAATTTTTGTCTGTCTGTCTGTCGGTCTGTGTTCCGGCTAATCTCTGAAATGGCTGGACCAATTTCGACGGGACTCTTCCTGGCAGGTAGCTGATGTAATAAGGCGTAACTTAAGCTACTTTTATTTTTGAAAAAATCTTTTATTTTAGAAAAATAAAGTAAATTCCACGCGGACGAAGTCGAGTGTACAGCTAGTTAATAATAAAACTAGTCTACTACAAAGGATATCTATAGTATACTTTATTGTCATTTTAATTTTCTGAATCATAACTGTATTGTAATGAATACGATATGTTATTTGCTTTCGACAGACGGGATAAGACCCCACCCCACCACACATGAATGCATATAATCAGATTTTAACAGCTACCACTCGTACCTAAGATTCGTCAAGTTTCTCAAGAGAGGGTCTCTTGAGAAACTTGAAGGGCTTCTTCAAAAATAAATAGAAAAGTTCCTTCAAGGTTGACAATGTCCATACTACGGTCGTAGTATTGCACGTGATTATATAGTTTGGTAGTACGACCACTTACCATCACGTGGATCATGGCATGTTTACCGTATCAAGGTTCATAATCAAAGTTTTTTATTACATTATGGATTAAAGAGTTCTTGGTCATTTACTAACATCATATTTAACTATAAGTAACTAAATTTGAACATTTAAATTTTAATAAGGAATAATTAATAAGTATTATGTCCAAATCTAAAGTGTTATTCATCATCTGCTTCTTCCTTATCCCATTTATTTGGGGTTGGCATATAATATGTTTTTCTCTTCCATTCATCCCCGTCCGCAATCATCTCGTTATTTACTCCCTTTCTTACCATATAATATTTCACTTATTCTAAATAGAAAACGCTTACTTTAGATAATGTACTTAAAAAAATATATATGTATAGAAAGTCATATTATTATCAACAAATAATATTTGGATGTGTTTTGACATCATACAGTCTGTATGAGATACAGTCACAGTTTCCTTATAAATCTAAAAATATAACATTAATTGTTTATAAAGAAATATATTTCTAGTACATATTTATAGTATATTTCTATATATAATACTAAATGTAGTAATATGGTATATAGTTCATATGTGGGTATGAAATGATATATCAATAACATTAACTAATAGACAAACAACTAATATAGTTAATTTATATCATTCATTCATCATCACATTCATCTGAATAATAATACAAATAAATAATAATAAATATTTTATCATTATTTATTTGTATTATGTGATATGTATAATTATGTGACTATAAATGTTGACAACAAAAACTGTGGAGTAATAATAATATCCCTTTACAATTCACACAATGCCATCTAGTCCAAAGATAAGCACACCTTGTGTTATGCGTACTAGTAGACAACTGATACTTTCGTAATTTTTTTTAAACACCCAGACAGATAACAATAATCATACTCCTGGATATACTGCGGGGGCAATTGGAAGGGGGAAGCTGGCAATCATAGTAGTCAAATTAAAATTTAATTTGATTCCAATAAAAAATACATAATAGTCTGTATTACTTGTAATGATATTATACAGTATTATCAAAATAAACAATTCCTTTAGCAATGAAATATCTCTGCCTATTAATATTAGCTAAGCAGATATAATAAACTGAATTTGAATTGATAGGGCAAGGTCTTTTCCTAGCCCTTAAGAAACCTAGCATCATGATAGACAAACAAATAAAAATAACAATGAATCATTTATTACTGTTGCTCAGTGAAAGCATGCAGCTTAAACAAAACAATAATGATAAGGTACAGATAAGCCAACTGCTAACACATAAAACAGTTATCAATACCAGAAGTTTATTTGTTTTAATCATTACATACTACAACACAACCAGAACTGGTGTATAATGTGGAATTGTAGAAATATTAGATAGAGATAGATAGAGAACACACAATGTACTCTAATATCTATTCTGTAATTTTCCCTTCCACTATCAAGTAATATCATCCCTATTCAACCTTTTGTAGTGCTTTAAACATTGTATGATTTTAATTTGTTTAGTCTAATCAAAGCATCATATTTTATATGTCTATCTATCTTAGATGTTATACCTATCTCAGACACCAGCTTCTCTCAGTTTATTATAACAAATAATCATAATAATTTTGAATAGTATTACATAATAGGAGCGAAGCGTGCGCAAGCGCAGCGAGCGGACGTGTTCACTTACTTCTTATCTTAATAAATAAATGTAAAATAACTAGAGACAACAAATAACAACACTAAAGTATACTAACTACGGAAAGTGTATATTATCGTACTGTGTGATTAATCGTTACAAAAAAGTGTTATAATAGTTTTGTGATTAATATATCAGACCGACAATTTATCTAATACCTGCCATTATTAACATTCAGTATGCAACGGTCACCACAAAATAAGCGTTATGAATCAGATCCTGATTTATCAATCCTCACATCAAGGAAACGTAAAAATGATCATGATATCAACGAGTCTTTCAGATTATTTACTGAAAACGTACTAAAAAAAATGGAAGACTTGAAAGGGGAATTCAATTGCAATCTATTACAAATCAATGATACCCTAAATAATGTTATCATAAAAGATCTAAATAACCTAAAAGAACAGACCTTAGAACTAAAAACAGAGGTCAACAACATTCGTAAGGATTACAGTGACATAAAGACCAGCTATATGAAGTTGGACAGGCGTCAAAATGAAACACATAAAGAAATTGCCACAATTCAGAAAGCACTACAATTTACCTGCGAGCAACAAGATGAATGTACAAAAAAATTTGAAAAAATGTCTAATACAATCAAAAGTGTCGACTGCTTCGAGGAAGAGATCAATAATCTAAAATTACAAAATCGGCAGTTAATCTCAACAATAAACACAAACGAACAAAGAAATAGGCAACTAAATATTGAAATTGTAGGTGTGCCTGAATTTACCAATGAAAATATAAAAGACAGTGTCATAAAAATTGTAAAAAGACTCGGTATGGATATTCAAGCAAGTGACGTTTTGCAAGTAAATAGAATCACTCCAAAAATAAAACTCCAAGGTCGATCCAGAGTGATTGTAGCTAAGCTCAACTCCAAGTTACTTAAAGACAACATCATTTCTCGTGCACGGAAGACACGATTGACTACAAAAGATATCGATTTACCAGGCGAACAGAAACATATTTTTATTAATGAACACCTCACTCCGTACAACAAACAGTTATTAAAAAAATCTAAAGACCTGGCCAAAGTTAAAAAATATCAGTTTGTGTGGATAAAAAATGGCAGCATTTTCATACGAAAGGACGATACTGCACATGCAATTCAAATTTTTACCGAAGAAGATTTAAAAAAGATCAGTGCATAACAATAAACAGTTATAATACTTCCTATTTATTAGTGATTCAGAGTTATTTTTGTCTATATTTACAACACCGTTATTTCAATACATTATTACCTAACATTATTATTCGTTATTCGATTAAAGTAAAACACAATACACAAGTAATATCGATGATTACAGTAAAATCAATAATGTTTTTATTAAAAATATTTGTTCAGCTAATACAGTCTGTGTATGCTGGCTTGGTCTATGACTGTTATACACAAGTACACAATAGTATCGTAAGTTTTGACAAATTACAATTTGAGTGGTGTCTTTGTAAAAGTATATTGGCGATATATATTTTCATATACACCGTGTACATCCAAAGACTTTATCCATCTTATTTTTTAGTTAATAAAATAAAATTGATGTACAATAATCTATCTCTGTGTACACTACATAACACATATATATACATTTACACTGCAAGCGCGGATAGTATTAGAACGCGAGCAATGGTAATTCATTACATGACTCACTCAAGTATTGTACTACGGTTGTGCACCGTACCTATAACCGCCAAAGTATATTGCACTAAGAGGAGAACGTCAAACTATAATTTCTTATTGCAATACCCTCGAGATTCGAACAAACATAAATTATTGTGCGTGTATAAACCGTTTAAAAGATTAACAATATTATTTAAAATATATTTTTGTACTAATAAAATTATTAACTCCAGGAACTGTGACTATGATAAACAGTTGCAGAGTGTATTTGAATGGAATGGCAACCAACCAAGGCTAGGTAATGGCTTGGAACACTTATTCATTATATTATCATTATATATCACAGATGAGAAAATGTTGCATGTGTTACAATTTTGCGATGGATACTTAATAATACGACAAAATCATAATCATTACTATTCTATTTTCGATATAGTATGGTTGAACGAGTTGTTTTTATGCCTGATGCAAGTTTACAAAACTTTAATAGCAATATTAAACAGCGCTGTTTGTATGTTTGTGCATACTATCGTAATGGTGGGTTTTAAGCGATCTTTCATTTTATTTATTGTATATAATTATATACAAATAGTGTTAATTATTGATATTTTCTTGAGTTTATGGAAACGGGTTTTGATCACAGTATTATATTTAAGTTTCTACATTATAAATTCAAGTATAAAAATCTATAAATTATGTGTCCGTCATGAGATAGATAAACTAGTAATAAAAATGGATTATTCATTCCAAACAACAATAGATGATGTGTTCAATCGTATATTCGATAATCAGCTGTTCAACACTCTGTATAGATTACTTTTTAAATGTGTGTGTCACTACACAGTAATTGTTAACTCTCATATATACATACATAAATCATGTCATTATACTAATACAAATAATTTACTTTTAAATAAATATTATTGGAGTATTAGTCTATCACAGTGTTGAGTTCAAAAAGCAAAAAATAAAAAAATTTGAGATATTCTAACTAAATGCCTACAACTACGACAACAAATCTTATGTAATGAATATGACATTATTATCATAACCGAACATGGCTACATGAGGGAATTTACGACAGAGAATTTTGTGATGAGCGATATGACGTTTTCCGATGTGACCGTGACCCGGTATCAAGTAGAAAAAAGGGGAGGTGGCGTAATGATATTAGTTCGTAACGAGTTATGTATCCCCTCTGCGATTTTACAGAGCATAAAACCGTCAGAGATGGTAACGATAATGATACCAGCGCGAGCGCTTGCGGCTACCGCTAACTTATATATTACTGCGGCATATATTCCACCTAATTCTGAACGTATCCCTGTAGATGTGGACATCTTATTGAGAAATGTAAAAACAACTATAGAAATTACACAAAACTTTCAAAATTATTTAGTGATTGGTGATTTTAATCTACCCTGTATTACATGGGACATCGATGGCCCTACGCATATAACTACAGGTAATATTGATGTTCAGAGGGCGGGCAAGATACTGACAGATGATATGAGTTTGCTAGGCTTCAAACAATTTAATACAACAAAAAATCATGCCGGTAACACACTAGATTTAGTTTTCTGTAATCTCCCTCTTGATATAATAAATTGTAGTTCACCGCTTGTTAACATTGATGGCGCACACCCAGCACTCTCAATGGATGTCTTGGATCTATCTGTGACACCATTAGTCGAAGCAACTGTACCTAAATATAATTTCAGATTAGGTAATTATGAAGAGATTAATACAGCTTTTAGTACAATTAACTACTCGCTATTTAAAGGTAACTCAACAGAAAAAGCATGTGAAACCTTCTATGGAATTGTCAATGATACCATATGTCAATATATACCGCTTAAGGCCAAACATAGTACTCACAAATATCCTATCTGGTATAGCCTCGCCTTAATTAAAATTATTAAAGAAAAATCTAAAGCGCATAAAAAATGGAAAAAGTATGGTAATGAAATGGATTATGATGAATTTGCATTCTTACGAAAACGTCAACATCGCGTACAGATGAACTGTTTCTCGAGTTTTACTAAGCGAACCGAACAAGCAATTAAATATAGTTCAAAAGCATTCTGGTCTTATATTAAATCTATACGAGGCGGATCCAACTATCCAAAAAAATTTACATATGGCAAAAATGAGTTTACAGACGGTAAATAATTTGTGACGCATTTAATGAATTTTTTGGAAGTGTTTAACACCCTCAACCGATACAATTGAGGCGGAAGAATCTATCTCTTATAAAGACAATATTTCAAGATTATCAATATCTGTTTCAGCAGTTGAAAGCTTTATTACATCTGAATGTATCAAAAGTGATGGATGTGATGGTATACCACCGATATTTTGGCGAAACTGTTCTAAAACTCTAAGGTTAACAAAAATTTTTAATATGTCTCTTGTGGAGGGTATATTCCCTGATGTTTGGAAAAAAGCGCATATAGTCACAATACACAAAAAAGGAACCAAAATAAATGTAGAAAATTATAGAGGTATATCAATATTAAATACAGTGAGCAATCTTTTTGAAAGGCTGGTTCTTGATTTCATATATCCAGTCATACATAAATATCTACCAGATTCTCAACATGGATTCCTTAAAAAGCGTTCCACTGTCACCAACTTGACATGCTTTTCTAATTATATCCTAACTAATATGGATAAAGGTTCAAGTTGACGTCATTTACACGGATCGAGAAAGCATTCGACCGCGTGGATCATCTGATCCTTCTGGGAAAACTCCAAACTCTGGGAATTCATGGGGACTTACTTAGATGGATTGAATCGTATCTAAACAAACGCTCTCAGGCTGTTGTGATTGGGGGTTATAGATCAGATTTTATTGAGATACCGTCAGGCATTCCTCAAGGCTAAAAATTAGGACATTATTTTATAATGCTTACATATTTGATATTCCCATATATGTCTTACATCCGTGAAACATCTAATGTACGCAGATGACAAAAAAATATATCTTAAAATTGACAAATTAGAAGACTGCATAAAAATACAATCTGATCTAAGAGCTCTATTTCGTTATTACTCTGATAATAAAATAACAGTAAATATCAGCAAATGTGAGTGCATCAGTTTTACCAGAAAACCTAACCCTATTACATTTTTATATAATTTTAATGATGTCCCTATAAAGAGATCTAAGGTAGTAAAGGATTTAGGAGTCTATTTAGATAATAAAATGTTATTTACAGAACATATTGATAAAATTACCAATAAAGCGTATAGAAATCTTGGATTTATAATGAGACTAGTAGTAAATCTTTTAATGATATTAACACCATAACAAAAATTTTGTATTACTGCTTATGTCAGAAGTACTATCGAGTATGCTAGTATTAAAATTTGGTTCCCACAGTATAATATTCACAAAGATCGCTTAGAACGTTTACAGAAGATATTTATAAAAAATCTAAATTACCGATTTCGTAAGCCAAATTCAGCTGTTTATAAGGATAACTGTAAACAATACAATATATTGACACTTGATGATAGACGTAAGCTGACGGATATCTGTTTATTACATGATATAGTAAACGGACGTCTCGATTGTCCAGATTTAGTATCGAGTATATCATACAATGTACCAATTAAACGTTCACGACGCAACACTCCACCATTACTACACATACAAAGAGCATACACCAACTACGCAAGGAACGCGCCACGAATACGACTACCGAAGCTGTATAACGATGTTTTTAGTGAAATCGATATATTCAGCATAAAAAAGGTAGCATTTAAATCTAATGCTACACAGTTATTACTTCGTAGAAACTAACTAGTAAAATTTGCATAAATTAGATGGTATAAGCATTATATTGTATAAATTAGAGTTGTGGATAAACAGAACAATAATATGTTAATACTTTAGTGATGTAATACTGAATATTGTAATTGTGAGAAAACCTTTAATTGGCCTTATATTTAAGTACATATTATTTGTTATTATTTGTATTTCGCTGTTGGTTTTCAAAATAAAAAATAAAAAAAAAAAAAAAAAAAAAAAAAAAAAAAAAAGTACTAACTAAAAATACTTAATGTATATATTGCTACGCATGTTTGTAAGAAAAAAAAATAAATAGATTATTATTAATATGATAATTATAAAATTTTTTATGAAATATGTAATTTCTATTCTACCAAAACTAAGTAATCATAGTAAGATTAAATTATACACAGTGATAATCACCTATTATGAGAATACATATCAACGGTCATAGAAATTACTTTTTAATTACCAGTTTCCATTGAAATTAAAAACAACATTATTAATTAATGCAAATATATAATTAAACTAAAATAGTTAACGGTAGATTTACATGGAAATAAGGAAATAACATATATTAACCACTGATTAGACTCAAATTGACAACTAATAACTAATAATGAAAAAAGATTTTTGGGTTTAAAAAATAGTAGGATATCTATTTTTACATCAAAAGTATAATAAGTAAAAGGGTGCCCAATTAAACAATAATTTAAGTAGTATATTAATAAATATTCTGTAACATGATTTAGTATGTCCTGTCTAAATTATAAAGTACCTCTTTAATTCTTCCATCTAAAAACATTTTCTTCATGCCTTATGGCATTTGGTGAAAGGGAGTCAACAATTAAGTTATGAGCGAAAAGCAGGATAGCTTCTGTATTTAACCCGAGATAGATTTGGTAAGAAGTTGGTTAGTATGTGTAGGTGCTTTAACTATTTCAGGCACAAGGCTTACTTTGTGAGCTGTATTTCAGTTGTAATATTAGATTAAGCAGTAAAATTATCTAATAATAGATATAACAACTTAGTCATGAGGAATGGCAATGTATGAATGGTAATACACTCATGTGGCATCATATAACAATGATGGCTTCTTTTCAATCCAATTACATTATAAATAGAAATTTTACAAACAAATTTTAGCTACTAATGAAAATTGTATATACGGCAAATTAAGTTAAGTTTATATTGTGACTGATATGAATTTATCACTCTTTGACAATAAAAATAAATCTGCATTTTATGTAATATATATACTGTATCATCAGAAGCGACAGTAAAACAAGACAAAGACAAGTAAAATATTTAATGTATGTAGATTGTTTACAAAATGTACTCACCAACATTTTTGACCATGATATCTTTTAGCTCATCCAACTCTCCATGCACTTTTGATATAGCATCCAAGTCTTTTGACTCACTGTAGTGCTTCATTTCTGTAGCTAAAATTCTGGCAAACTCTCCATTCATGGCATATGGAATAGCAGTCTGTGCAGTTTCACCAAAAGCTGCGATGAATCGCCTTTTAATTTCATTGAGGAAAAGAAAAGCTCTAGAACGTTGGAATTTCTGAAAAATGTATTTTACTTTATTATATGCTAAAAATCAGGAACTAGATCAAAATGTTATTTAAATTATTAACTGGGTCTAATACGAATAATTTTATGGCAAATAAAGGTATTTACCTCTCTCGATGTTTCGACTAGGTTGCACTAGCCGTGGTCACGAGCTGACTGGAGTAACAGCGATGTCAATGTAGATAGGTGACAGCAGTTTTTTAAACAATCTAGTTTTGTTTTTACTTTCGTTAAACAATCTAGTTACGGTAGATGAAGAAAAAATTGCTGTCATCTATCTACATTGACATCACTGTTACTCCAGTCAGCTCGTGACCACAGCTAGTGCAACCTAGTTGAAACGTCGACAGAGGTAAAATTATTCCTGTTAAGACCCAGTTAATAATTTAAATAATGTATATTAAACACGAAAGTTTAAAATTAACTAGATCAAAATGGTTCATATCTTATTAATTGTACTCACATCATCTGTAATGCAGAAGTATACCAATTTATTTTCCGCGATATAGTGAAACAGATAACTTCCATGAGAATATGTCAATTTGTCGTCATGGGGTGGTATCTTCGATAGTATTTGTTCAGTGACGACGGTAAAATTACCTTCACAGGTAGCATACTTAGCTAGCACCACAGTGCCTCGCGCAACCACGCTAAATAATATAGGCATTGTGGATAATGACAATGAAAACAAAGGCCAGCAATTGAATTTATATCAGCAGAACAGGAGCGTAGAACGATTATTTAGAACTAATATTTCGGAATAACGATTAGAATAGCAAGAATTCTAAATAGATTGCAGATATCTACAAGTTTACAAATATTATAGTTAAAGTAAAAATTCGAAATCAGAAAAATCAAATACAACACAATAATATGACACTCAGCACACTTATATTTGATTTGATGTATTATTTTTTTGTTATTAATAACTAGAGATGAGAGAACAGTTTCACAGTAACTAAACATTCGTTCAACTTAATGGGAAAAGCATGCTTTTAAAACAGTTCTACTTTCCTACTGCTACCACAACTTTTTAACTTCATGGAGTTGTTTTTAAATTTAATTTTTTAAATACTATAAAATATAATAATATAATCATAATTTATACTCGAGATTTCGTTCAAATAATACCAAATGAGAACACCATAATGTTGCGTTATTTATTTCGGCATTGTCACTTATATATTCATGAGTATTCAATTGCAAGTACATTTTTATAAAATGTAAATGTATATTATATTTATTCTTTTGATTTTAATATATTTGATAAAAAATGTTAATACATATAATGGCATCTACTACATAATACTTTTGAAGTCATTATGTATGTACGTTAATAGCTAATTTAAGTATTCGTAAAGCATATGCGATAAGCATAAGCAACTTACGAGTGGTCAATACAACAAAAACCTCCCTGATTGGTATAGCAAATTAACGATATTTGTAGGAAAAAAAATCTAATTTATTTCTATCATAAATAACAAACAACATAAATAAAAAACGGCATGTGCATCGTCTTTTATTATTAGATTTAGCAGACTTTTTTTTATACTTTTTGGCTTTTTGCGACTACATTTCTTTCTTTTGAGTAACTATATCTACAAATTAGAATCACTAAACCTAATTTATCACAAATTGTGAGTATTAACATAATAATACTCACAAACTTATATAAAAGTGAAAATAAAAAAAATAAAATTTCTAATACTATATATTTTATAAATACTAATCAAAATAATCATCAATATCAATATCAGGATTTAATATATCATCACCAAATGGTGTCAAATCAATTTGATCAAGGATAAGATTTTCACACATTTCTTCTAAATCAGTCTCACCAATTAGTATTGCACCTTGTAATCTACCATTCTGTATCACAAATTTTATATACTCGAGACGAGGTGTAGTCCTTAAAAGAATTTCATAATTGTTCCCCAAACCCTGACCATTATATTTTCCTAATAAAACTATTCTATACCCAAAAAGAGTAGTGCAGTGAGTGAATAATTCAAAACAAAAGTCTTGTAAAATTTTTTCATTAGTGATTCTTGCATGCATGGCTTTTGCAGCCATGCTGGCCATTTGTCGCGCTTGAGTCCACAGTCTTAGTTGAAACCAATGAGCACCAGGATTCCAAGCCGCATGAGCTACATCACCAGCAGCATAAACATCTTTTATTGTTGTCTCCTGGAATTCATTAACTGAAAGCCCTCCATCTAAACCTATTCCTGGCTTACAATCCCAAGTAAAATTATTGGCTGGTATCACTCCAGTTGCTGATATTACAAAATCACATTGAATTTTCTGTCCATTAGTAAGTTCTACTTCCAATGGATACTCTCCATCTCTTTCCATAACAGAGACTACTTCAACTTTGTATATAATTTGAAGTTCTTGTTCACCAGTTTCATTTCTTATGCTTTCCAGTTTACGATACCAGTCAGGGCCTAATGCTGCAGATTTTAAATCTTTATTCAGGCTCACTAGAGTATCTTCCTCCGTAAATATATGTCTTCTTAGTACAGCGCTTGCAGAAGTTTCTTCTGCAGATTTATTTTTAAATGTGTCTTGAAAGAACTCTGCTGCACCAGGATCTATAAATGTTGCTGATATATAATCATCTCTTATAACCCAAACCTTTTGTATTCCTCTTGTGGCATGAACAATTTCCGATGCAATACCACCATTTCCAACTATAAGCATCCTGCGGCCTGATTTAAGTTTACTCTGAAATTCGTGTACAGACTCTGTGTCTCTAATACCAAGGATTCTTTTACTATTATTTGAGTCTGAAATAAGTTTTGGTATGCCACCAGTACAAATGCATAGCACGTTATATTCCAACAATATGCCTCCATCAGTAGTAACCACTTTATTAACTGTATCAATGTGTGTTAAAGAATCATAAACAATAGTAAGGTTTGGGTGTATCCTCTTTAAAGAACTTGCCTCCGTTTCATGGACATCAAATTTTACTATGGTTTTGGCAAAAAAACTTACATTGCTTACATTTTTAACTAATGAAGATGCAGTGATTAAAAGAACACTTTCCTCTGGATGCAGTATGGCTAAGGTATCAACACAGGTTACTCCAGCAATGCCTCCGCCTACTACCACATAAGTTGCTTTCATATTTGACATTCTTGTAATATGGCAAGTGTGCTATATTTGTAAGTTTTTGGTGTTAATATAAATCATTTTGTTTATTACTACTGCTTTTTATATCGTTACTTAAAAGGAAAAGCAAAGTAAAGTTTTAAACTAAGAATTAATATATATATATTCATATACTGACAAACTGATCTAAGAATGACTTGATTGTATGGAAGGGCTTGATTGTATTAAGCATTTTATAGCTGTATGTCAGCTGTCAGCAGTCAAAGTCATCACAAAATGTTATTTCGGCCAATATCGGTCCATTATTGTCAAACCAAATATTTCATTAATGAAACTGTATTGTGATCAATCTTGTAATCAATTAATTTATTTACGTAAATAATTATAATTATGTAATTTAATTAGATATCATAAATGTTTCAAATTATTAAATAATTACTCAAAACGAAACATGTTCTGTAGATATATATGTGGTAGCAAATTAATCCAAATATACACTTAATGATATGACTTGTGTTTAGTAAGGATAATGTTTTATTGGATCATAGTGAGTGCAGCGGCCTTATGGCTGGCTCTGACATGGTATTTCCCAATAATGTTTTGTCTTTTGTACTTAGTATTGTTAACTATATTCCTAGTATTAGGTGTATTTGTTTTGACACTTTGGGGTCATGTTTCTCTGTCTTCTCCCCATCAAACTTCTCTATACTTGCTAGACAGAGCTGAGAAAGAAGTACGACAACTAGACGAGATCCGAAAGGTTTGTATTCCTAACTTAAAATATATTTTATACATACACAATACACAGTAATCCAAGTTGTTGGTTTTTATACAAATTGTAAATAATGACTACATTTCCTCTAAATTCTAAGAATTTATAATTATATAATTTATAATTTGTATAAAAACCAATAACTTGAGAGAAAGATGGAGAGATAACTTATTTTTACAACTCTCTTTGTAGTCAATAGTTTTGGATTCACCTTATCTTACCATCAAATGGAAATTAATGTTATTTTTATTGTTATTTACTATGCTAGTGGTATATGAATATTTGGATAATAAAACCCTGTGGTTTTGTATCATATCTATATCAAATTATTATTACTCAGCCTAAAAATGATAATTAAGAAGGGTAGTATTCATTATTATATGTGTATAACAATATATAGATAAATATACCATTTTGATAAATTTGTTTTGCAGTAATAACTGTAATTTTAATTTTATAAAAATTAATGACACTGATATATATTATTATCAAAATATAATGTTTATAACTATATAAAATTGTACTTTAAATCAATGTTAATATCAACTCCTCGTTACTATGAGTCTGCCATTATTAATACTTAAGAATATTATATATTTATATTGTATTTTATTATTTGCTCCTCAGGAAGACCAAAGTAGTGGTCTCTATTCAGCAAAGAAAACTCATCTGCCTATAATATTCAGCCGCACTGTGGACAGTCAGTTACAACAACTAATTGATTATATGCTAAGAGACTTTGTCACCTGTTGGTTAAAGGAGTTATCACATAGACCGGAGCCTGTAGTAGATAAATTAAAGGAACATGTTTGGGGTGCCATACAGAATCTCTATGAGAGACTTCTGAGAGTTGATGCAGAGAAACTTTTAGCTAATGACATGGTTATTAGAATCACACAACATTTTGAACGTATACGTATTGCCAAAACTTATGGGTGAGTTCAGTCATTTTTTTATTGGGATATAATGGAATAGTTTATTGCTTGTAACTGGTAATGGTATATGCTAATGGAGCATTAGTGGAAGATAATAGTATAACCATGAAGTCAGGATCTGTAACCAAAATTTCACTAGAAAAAACTACAGTAACTACTAGGGGATGTACATTAACATTGACCTCAGCTTCATTGCTAGCAAATAGATATAAAAATAGCTAGCTTATCCTGTTCCCTAGTTCTTTTTTTTCATGTCATATGCCTAAATGAATTAATTGTATTTGTAACATATAAATTATAGACTATGTTATCTTTGAACAATATATCTATTTTATGTAATGAAATATGTCATTCCACATGAAATAATACCTATTTATTTTATATACTGCATTGTGTAAGACATGCATGTATAAGTTTATTAAGTATACATGACTGTCTGTTATATACTGTTTTAAACTTGACGCGGTTATTATTTATAAGTATAATTAGTAAAAATCACGGGATCTTACCACGTTTTATATTTATTTGCTGAGTTCCCGATACTTCGGTAGTGTTTCAACATTAAAGTGTGTATTAAATGTACGTAAAGATACTGTGAGTACAGTTTGCCGAGATGAATATCGAGCGAGTTCCAGTAGTAGCAACAAACGAAGATGTGTGAAAGTAGACGCATATGTCTGCCCATAAAAAGATTTCATTTTCCATCTACCTGCTGCTCTTCAGTTTACCCGTGATCATGGTGGTTGAAGCAGTACCGAAATATTGGGAACTCAGCAAATAAATATAAAACGTGATTTTTACTAATTATACGTATGACTGTCTGTTGGCCCCTAACTTAATGTACATTTTTTTTGTGGTTCTTATCAAAATGATCATATATTTTAGTAACTATTGACCCTTGTGCAATGATTTGTTCAGATCAGAGGTAAACCAACCACCTGTGTTTGCTTTGGCTCCACACTTGATGACTTTTGAAACCGAACTACACTACTTACGCCAGATTAGTGAACTGATTGTAACATGTCTGATGCCTCGCTGTTACTCACTGTCGCCTACTTCATACCTAATGACAGAGATATTGGCTTGCAAAGGTTGGTGCTCATTCCATTTATTGACAAGTAAAGTGCTAAACATCATGACTGAGTGATTTAAACGTAAGGTCCTGATTTCAAAATTATGGACACCAAAAAAACAAAAACGTATTGTATCACTTTATATTTCTGATTCAGTCTCCACTGAAACTATCATTAAACACCCTTATCAAACCAACTTAATCCGATAGACGGCGGTAGGCTTACCCCTACCACATTGAATGTAATTATACCTAGGGAAATATGTCAAGTGTTGTGTTCACTACAGATCGACATTTGACAATGCCTCTGATTACCCTATTTGAATTATGCGTGATAGTACATTTTTTATTGATTTATAAGGTTTTGTTTGTACGAGAAATCCATTTTGTTCATAAAACAACTGAAGTAGAGACAGTCTACTATAGATCTATAATGTCAAATAGAACTTTGATTTTATTTTTAGCATACTTTTTTTTTATCAACATAAACGTAGAAACAATTGTATTTAAATGGTACATCATATTACAGTACTTCTTCCTGCGATTGATCTCATAACAGAACCAGACTATATAAATCAGAAGATAGTACAGTATTTGGAAGCTCAAAAAGAAGTGAATGCAATGCATGTTAGAACACACGAGTATGCGAAAACGTTCGAAGATTACATAAGGCTAATTAACAACTGCAATAATGTTGACACGCTGAAACGGTTACGGTGAGTGGGCAACTGCATTCATTTCTGTTGAAACCGAGTGTTGCACAGATATTTGTATGTAGCTGTATTATTTTAAGAGGCGACTATTCTATACTCCTCCATATGTACCTTTCGTTCCCAGCCTTTTTTTTACCAATTTCTTTGTTTTTAGCAGGACCACAGATTAAAAGAAAAAATATTGTAATCTAAAAATAACTACTTATATTAATTATACCTCATTAGAAATAAAGAGTGTAATTAACTGATCGGCTTATATCATATTGTGATTGATGACTTTGCTTCCTTCTCCGATTACAAATATTCCATACTACTAACATGTAATTAAAATACATACATAATAATAACTTTGAAATTTGAAATCTTTGGCAACTAATACTGTAAATGTAGTACATATATACTATTCATTGTATAAGGATCGCCTTGACAATGCCGAAATGACAAATATACTACTTACTAAATAGTAGATTATTATGAAAGTTCACTTTGTCTTTCAATTCACTTTGTCTTCAAAAAGTTCAATTGTCCACAAAGTCATTCATCATCTGCTTCATCCTTATCCTATTTATTTGGGGTCGGCGTAATATGTTTTTCGTTTCCATTCATCCCTGTTCGCAGTCATCGCGTTATTTACTTCCTTTCTTACCATATCATCTTTCACACAGTCCATCCATCTCTTTTTTGGCCTTCCTCTGGCCTTATAACCATCCACATTCATTTGTAACATCTTTCTTAAAATATTATCATATATGTCCACAAAGTCATTGTGGGCTAATATACTGACTTTGATTACAAAAACCTCTCTGAATTCTTATTAATACATTACCTACTTTTACAGTAAAAAGATAAATAGTCCGCTATCATCCACACTATGCTACAGCGCGCTGAGTATAGACAATATTATTTATAGTATGCATGATAACAATGTAGTCATGATATACCGGTAATAAATCTTGATATACTGTTTATTTGTTATATGTACTGTCAACTATTTTAGATATGACATCGTAACCCAGATAATGCAAGCCACTACCTTACAAAATGTCAAAAGGGCTAAAGGCATAGATATCGAGGCAATAGAGAAGACTAACAGTCAGCTTAACATAAGCAGACAACAGATTGCAGATGCTAAAAAGCTCAAGCGATATATTACTCAACTGACAATAGCAAAGGCCGAGTGTGAAGATGCGCTGAGGAAGGTGGGCTGGGATGGAGCTTTTCCCGCTGTGGAGTCTGATAATAACAAGGTACTTAGCAGAAGTAATTACATAATTGCTAATTTTACCTCACTGAATACCACCTATTCCACTGTTTTAGGTTGACTGAAAGAGATCTCTTGTAGAGATAAGTCCTCCTTTGGTCTATTCTTCCTTCCTTTGTTCTATCTGTACAAAAAAGAATATAAATAATTTTTACCAAGTTAGAATTTGTAAAGCTTATTTATTAAGCTTATTTTATAACCTGTTTCGATTGATGCGTAAAAGTCAACAATAGCTCGATAAAACACTGCTATTATATACCTGTTTATTTCAGACTATGCCATTACATAAAGTGATGGAAAGTGTGACGGGGCGTAGATATCTATCTATGTTCTTAGAGACCATGTGTTCCCAAGGCCTAGTCGGTTTCTGGATGGCAGTGGAAGAATTGAGGCACAGTCCTAGAAGTAGTTGGCATCAATTAGGTGCCGAAATTTTTTATACCTATATAAGATCGCCCAGTGCTGAAATCAAAGTAGATAAGGTAATAAAAAAATATAATAAACTGTTGTGTTTATTTATTGATTAGGTTAAAACTGCACTAAGGAGAATAAAAAATTTAAACAGAGTCAAATATATAGTTATTGTTAAGTAAGCATTTGAGTTATAATAATTTCAGAGACCAATATTATCTCCAACCTCAATTATTTTTAAGGAAGACAATATAATGATGAACCCGGCGCTACCGGTTTAAGCTAGCGGGGGCTCAGTGGAGAATGACATTAAGTCAGGTCAGTTAGCTAATCTTGATAAATGGCAATTACTATAGTTTCCAGGTGGAACCGCGTGGAGGTCAACCTGACATAGTATATTGCTAGTAATCTAGTCCACATTACTAACAATCCCTTTCCGTCTTTCAACCTCATTTGATAATTACAAAATATGATTGTTGAATTATACATAAATTGATTCCAGGATACTAGGAAAAGGATGGAAGCATTTCTATTAGGTGATAAAGGGCCAGAAGTATTTTTTGAAGTACAAGATACAGTTGTGGACACAATTCAAGAAAAATATTATTCATCGTTTCTATTAAGTGACAAGTATACTGCATTGATTGCGGAACTCGCAACCGAAGAAGCCAACAAAGGTATGAAATATATATCCTTTAAAATTACCTATAATAGCATTTAGGTTTGTGGTAGCTTCTAAAAATTTTCATCTAAGAACCTAACCACCCGTTACTCGTTTTATACCTGGGAACATTATATTTTACCCACTGCTAATAGGAAATTTAGTAAAGGAAGAAGAAATACTTTCCAATAAATATAAAACTGTTTAAGAAATCATAATCCATTGTGAAAAGTATGATTCTCACATTTGGATTATAATGAGCATAAGCATTTTTATACGGCGGCTTTCCAGGGGGAACCGATTGGAGTCAACCTGACATGATACATTGCTAGCAATAGGTTCATTAGAAAGTTCATGAGTCCATAAAATCCTTTAAAGAACTGTTTAAATCAGTCAAATAGTTTTGAGTTTGTGCATAAAATCAAGTATTTCGTCTTTATAATAATAGTATAGATAAAAGATATTTTGTTTTAGAATTAAATTGTGAAAGATCGCCAATAGAGGACCGTCAGCTGTCGAATGAGTCGGCGTCGTCCGCGGAGAGTGTGGGGGGCGCACTACACCTCACCGAACACTCCACGTACGCCAGGAGAAAGCTCGATCAACTGCAAGAGAGGCATAACAACAAAACACAGGTAATCACTTATTTGTAATATTTTAAAATTTACACTCGTTTTTGCTTCATTATTTTTATAGCTATGTACGGTTTTATTAATTTACTATGTTTCAGTCGTTTGTGACACTTGTTTCGACTTCTTCTGGAAGTCATCTTTTGGGTGATTGTGGGGCATTCATCATAGCGTTTCTACTCACAATGATATCGGTCTAATTGTACGGTCTGGGAGTGAAGGAGGGGTGGGATTATTTTGCACTATATTTTTATATTCGTCATAATTATATGAAATTATTTTATTAAATAAACAATACAACAAACAAACCTTTACACCGTTATGCAATTATTTTTAATTTTATACGTATTCTACATATTCTAATTTGATGAAAAAGTTATTTCTATTTTTCTATCCCGTTTACACAATATGACACGTTCACGCCATCGAAGATTTGGGCAGAATTTAATGATAATTACGTACGTAAATCTGATATATAAAGTTTAGTCAGTCAAGTTTTATTTTGTCTATATAGGCATTAGCAGCGCTCCGTGCCTCACTGAAACCGGAATCACCAGCGCTGGCCATGTTAGCCAATGAGGTCGAGAAGTTGGCCGGCGAACAAATGAGGTTGGAAGCACATCTCGCACGAACGGACACATGGGCGGAACATTTGGGCAATTGGCGAGCCACCGTTCACAGTGCTGAGGTATATATACGAGTATGACGTATTTTTACCTTAAATAAATAATTACTGGCGTTATATAAAATGTATTTATTACAATGTGACTGAATATCTGAATTCCAATGAAAAAATATGACATAATACTGTGATTTTTTAATTTAATTTAAATAATTAAAATTGTAATTCTGACATAATTATCATACAAATACTTGTGATTACTAATGACATGCTATTGTGTAACGAAATATGTTACATTTGAGAATAAAATAGTATTAAATATTATTATGTTATTAAGTATATATATTTTTTTATTGTCAAATGTTGACAGAGTAAAATAACATTCACTCAAGTTCATTAAATTTAAAAAAACGTAACAGGTATACAGAATTTGTATAGTTAGATAGGAACTGAGGACCGCTGGAGTTCTATTGGGTGGTGATTGGGGGAGTCAATATATATTATAGTATATTTCTTTTACTCTTTGCGTTGTTTCGCAGGAAATGTATTTAATTTTTTTTTTATTTAATTAACACAATATAAATTAAATGTACAAAAATATTATAAAGATGAAAGTCTTTTTTGTTTGTAATGCATTATCAGCGAATATACATACAGCGGGTAACTAGAATTACGTTGGATCCTATAAATGCGGTTCATTCTATTATTTTCGTGTAATTTGATTCACATACAAACTGACGACACGTCTAATTATAACTAGTTCTGTTTATGTATATAGTAGCTTCATATCACGTGACCATGTGACCCGCGTGACATCACTCATACATTGCTATTCCAGAAGAATATCATATCTCCATATCCTGTGATTTCACTGGCTTATCTCACCTTACAACCGAAACACATCTTACAAATTAAGGTGCTTGGCGGCTGAAATAGGTGAAACATAATCTACCTGTCTAATTACCTCACATTTGGAAGTTATAAAAATATATATTACTAGCAGACCCGGCCACGCGTTTCTGTAGCTAAGGTTCTTGAATAATATAATTTTGCGACTATAAATTTAGATGTAAGCTATCCTATCTTTCAAGTTGAATCAAATTGCACAAAACATGCCAATCAAATTTGCAATCGGTTCAGTAATTTAGGAGTCCATCGCGGACAAACAACGTAACGTAATTTTTATATATAAAGATAATTAAATATATTACCAACAGGTCATAGATGAATCTAAACCACCACAATTCGTAATAGTCGTGCACATGGCTGAACAAGAAGCTACAAATGGCGACGACAGGCCGGAACAAATATCAACCGGCTGGGTGCTACTGAGGACTCTTAATGAATTTCAGGTATTTATATGTGCAATCATGTTGAAATCTACTTTTGCTACAGTTTTACGTAATACCTTAACTTTGTATATTTAATTAAATTTCATTTGTATATCTAATCATGTATCGTTGAATGTTGTTTCTGTTATTTATATATTTTCATTGTGCTTAAATTATCAGTTTCATGTAAATATATCGCTAGCCTTAACTTTGCATACCCTTTGAGAATAATTTTTTTTTAGGAATAAAGAATAAGAATACCAAGAGTAATAATCGAAGGAGTGGTTGAAAATGTTTTTATAGTATAAGACTAAATAGTAAATTATTATATTATTTTTTTTTTCAGGAACTACATCGAAAACTTAGGCCTATGTGTTCCGAACTTAAAAACTTGGAGTTGCCGTCGAATTCGTTTAAATTTTTATTTGGAAAGAATGATAGAAATTCATTAGAGAAGGCTAAAATATTAATTCAAAAATATTTAGAAGTAAGTCAAATACATTTATAATTCTAATGAAAACGACAAGTAAATTATTAGTATATAAAATATTTAATTCAGTTATTGCATTCGGGATCCTGGACTTATTGTTTTGCGATTATTATTTATTGTAATTCAGCTTATTCTTATCTTGTTTATTATTAGGTATGTATTCTTAAACTCAAAGCAGGAAAAATAACAATGCTACAATGTAAAATAGTAAGTTAAATATAAAATATATACTGATGATTAATATGACTGGTTGCGTTTGTACATGAGTGTGTGCGAGTGTATAAGACACAGATAAAAAGATTAAGGTGTGTGTGTGTGTATCATTATTCTGAGAATCACTTGTTAGAATTTTAGATTAGAATGTGCGATTGCTAATAAAACTTTTTGCCTTGAAAAATACTTTATGTACATTACAATATATGTGTTGTATGTTGTACATATAAACAATCTGTTGTAAATTAGACAGTATATTTAAATTCTGTTCCGTAATTTTTTGCATATAAATTAATTTAATTTAGATTCAGAATTAATTAATTTAGTTGTGGATCTACTGTTATGTATTTGCCATTATACATTGTGCATTCTGACGGTATTTGTATAGATATAACATTCTATATTCTATGTAACATATACAAAACTCAATTACAATATAATAGTGCCGATTATATTATTTCCAGTTTGTTTTAGAGGATGATCGTTTAAATCAATGTGAAGCTTTGTACACATTTCTAAACCCAAGCTCAGAATATTTAAAACAGGGCGATTTACCAAAGAAAAAGAAGTTTTCTTTACCTACGTTTTTCAAAAGGTGAGAAAATTTTGAAATATTTCTTTTCATATGACATTGAACTAAGGCAACGGTAGTATATATTATTTGTTTTATTTACTATATATATCCTGTGATAGGCGCAGATTTTTTTATTTAGTTTATTAAAATTTTTAAATGGCAATTTTCATCCACAGCACAAGTAGTGACGCTACAAATAGGTCCTCTCAGGAGAAAGAGTTATTCTCACATATCTCCGCCGACGAGGACGAAATATCGATGTACCTTGATGGGAATGGAGCTGATTCCACAAACAAAAGTATGACTAAATCCTTATGAAATATTTATTTTGTATTCCTAAAATCGTAATTATTTATTTACTTGTCATATAAGCACAACTTCGGAAAAATAATGAAATGTTTATTTTGTATTCCATTAATCATAATTATTCATTTACTTCTCTTATAGTGTAAGTTTTTATACATACGCACGTATACAAGATAGGTAGGTATACAAATATTGAGAAGTAAATTGTCAAAAACCTGTTTCTAAATATCGTATTATATAATGAACTATTATAATATTTACACGGCTTTGGTTACCAAAAATTTGTTATAATTAAGTTATAACAAATTCTGGGTAACCAAAGCCGAAAAGTAAAATTTGATATCCTAAAAAATAAAAATTGTTGTCGTTGTTCTGTATATAAATTAGTAGTAATAACAATATACGGTTACCCCATATAAGATAAAGTACTTAAATATTGAAGATATTAACACTCTTTATAACAATAAAAAATATATTTAAATTATATATTCACTAGAAATAGACTGTAAACTGTCGTCTGTGTTGGTGACTCCTATTTGAGCCCCGCAAATTCAGTCCCGCCTATTTCAGCCTCCAAGGCACTTGCTTTGTAATCTGTGTTTCGGTTGTTCGGTACTAGCCAGTGAAATCAAAGGATATATGACAATTGTCATGACACATCTTAGTTCTCTTGCTCTTGAATGGCAACGCATGAGTGGTGCCACATAATAACGTGATGCTCTTCATGTATGATATATATTCGACGGTTACCATATATATCAGACTAGCTATGTATATATACATATAGCAGACCCGCGACTGAGTCCGATTGGAATTTAACTTTAATTTTCTAAAATAAAAGTTGCCTAAGTTATTTCTTATTACATCAGCTACCTGTCAATGAAAGTCCTGTTAAAATCGGTCCAGCCATTTGAGAGATTATCCAGAACAAAGAGATAGACAGACAAAAATTGTAAAAAATGTTATTATGGTGTATGTACCGTATTTATATTCATATGCATGTAGTAAAAAACGGTTATTTCAATATTACAAACAGACACTTCAATTTTATTTATATATTTAGATGTGACCGCAATGGGTGAGGAGAGGGACAGTATAGCGGAGCCGTTGTACGCGCTGCTCAGCGAAGTGTTCGACATGCGCGGCGTATTCCGCTGGCTACGAAAAACATTAGTCACTTTTGTACAGATTACGTACGGAAGAACTATTAATAGGTAATACATTTTCTATTTTTTCTACAGTAAGTGTTGAATATTTAATTAAATTTGAATTTGATTAGAAAGTAAAGATATAAAATCTTTTTTCAACACACTTGTTTATAAAGTGAATCTAATTTCACAGGTTTACGATATATAAAGCAGCTCTTAAACACGTATAACGCAAATAGTGAAGTTTGATATTTACTATTTTTATGCACTATTTGCAATTTTTTTTCTCAAGTTTCGAACTGATGACTGCACGGCGTCAGACAGTAGGGGCGCTAATTTAAAAAGTGAAATGGCGGGAAAATAACTGTTCATTATAGTTTTATAGTTGAGTTTATTTAAAAACAAGTATGTTGAAAAACATCGTACGATACCTTTTGCTTTTTAACTTACGTAGTTTCCTATTTAGGTAACCAATATGTAAATTTCAAAAGTAACTATAAACTTTATCTTTTCAAACAGTGATAGGTTTTGGTAGAATTTTTAGTTGCTAAACAACTTTAATCAACTCTTTAATCGAAATAAAACGGTCCTAATTTTGTCAACACATGTGTATCAAATATTGCATTTTTTAGGCAAATCAAGGAGACAATATCTTGGCTGTTTTCTGAACAAATGCTGCATTATTACATAAGTGTGGTGCTAAAGTCGTGGTGGCCGGGTGGCGTCCTCAGCGCGAATATTTCTAATAGGAATTTTCAAGATAAAGGTATGTGACTCGTCATACATAATGGAGTGTTACGGTCGTAGCCATAGCATGAAATTAACTTCTAATATTAGACTTCCAGAATTAGTTTTGTACTGAAACATTATTTAACCGTTATCATTATTATAAATGTTATAATTAATAGACGACATAATACTTGGATGTTATCGAAGTTTCATACATTGATAATTTTTTTATGATTTGGGTTTCGCCGTTGAGATACATCTTTATGTCATACCATTTATCTAAACGTTCTCGAGTCTGAACTGTATTAGAACTAAGACCATCTGCGGTATGTTACCTATTTATTTTATCGTAATCCTTATTCTTAATTAAACATCATTGGGTTAAATCATGACCCATAGATATGAAATATAAACCAAAGGTATAAGTTTTAGAGACATTTTTCATTTAAGTGACACTTAACCGATTTATTAATAATATTTCTTATTCATGAGGCAACTAAATGAATAAGTGTAATTTAAGGTATAATTACATAACACTTGAATGTGTTTTAGACAATTTATGATAATGTTTTTGTTATTTGAGTTTCATCAGATTTGTTTTGTTCAGAACACACACGGACACTAGCGCTGCAGCAGCTCAGTGAGAGCGTGGTGGAAGCGCTGTCGTCGCTGGTGGGTGCGCACGCAGCCGCGCGCGGCGCTCACAAACTGTTTCACACGCTGCAGGACGTCACACATAACAAACAGCTGTTCTATGTGAGTATCACACGTTCTTAACAAATACGGATATTTTACCTAGGTAGACTTTGAAAAAGACGGTTGCTTTGCACGGACCTATATCAGCTGCCAAGCAATTATACTAATAGTAATCATCCCTATTTTCTCAAATAATGAACTGTCACAATTGCTGCTTATAATAAAATTAACGCATTCTGTTAAACGCGGTAAAATATTACAATAAAAAATTAATATGGCGGCATAAAATCTTAGACCTCCGGTATTGCAACACAAGAGTGATGTCACAGACATCACATGATAACTTGATGTCTGTGGTGTGTATAGACGACAATTAACAGGTGGGCCATAAGCTTCTTTACTATTTCAATAACATAGACAAAATATACTAGAAGTGACTCTTGGATGTCAGTGTCTACCACATGCGAGACTAAGTAACCTGTACTTCTGAGATATACATCTGGGATAACAATGGTGAGAACCGATGTGTAAAGGAAATTGGACAATTGAAATGCCATGTCGTCCACCCAATCTATTCAGTGAAAAGGAATTTAATAGAAATAATCTTTATGCACATAAACTTAATATAGGCATAGTTGAATATTATTTAATTTTACCAAACAGAGTTACTTAAAGTAACTTGCTTGTTGCTCGTTTAAATAAATGTTGTTCATTACATTTTTATGATTTGTGTAGATACAAACTGATAAATTTAAAATTATTATTATTTTTTCCCTTATATCATACCTAATACATTGTTATTGTGTACACGTTAAAATATTTGTGATCTAAAGCCTAATATCATATATATCGTACAAATATATCTAAGAAATAGGATCTTTTCTAACATCCCATAAAATTGAATGTCTGTAAATATTACATTAAATTATTTTCAACTGTTCTTTAATTTTTGACTTGTTATTCGTTTCCATATATATATGGATTCCTTGATTCAATTCCTACTTTTAGCTATAAATGTGGTGTAATAAGTATACTCTTTTGTTGATTATATTATGTTTTAATTATATGTAACTTATGTGAATTGGTTTTAATCGTTATGTTTTATACATTGTTTACACTCTTAGTTTTAATATCGCAAAAACATTAACATTCAACTACAAATTCGCATAAAATGTTTTATTTCATGGCGACTGGAACGCGTGGGTAGATTGTAGCCGACGTCATTATCCAGATTATTTTTATATCCAATACATGTAAGATATATTAGCTATGTTATAGAGCGGAAGAAACAAAATATTAGCACACCGATTAATATAACACAAGATATTGGACCAAAAATATAAAGAGCTAAGCCTAAAATAAATACAATTATCACAGCTGCCTTTAAGTATAATTTCGTGTTGGTATTCTTAACTAGCACCACTACACGCTCCGGAGATTTTCTCACGTATGATATTGTCTGAAATAAAAAAAATATATACTTATCAGAAACAATATATAACAATTATTCTCTGCACCACCTATGGTTGACTGGTAGAAAATGCCGCATGGTGTTAAGTCCGCCAAATGTACTATACTATATATTATATTGTGTGCATTAAAAGTTAAAGTTAAATATAAAGAATAACATTGCTAATATTATAGAGATTGAATTTTTTAATGCCATTATTTCTAGTATATAGGCAATATCATATACCTACGTATATTATTCTTGTCTGACAATTGATTTCGTGACAGGTATTTCACTTAAGTATGGGATTAAAATTAGCCTTAGATTAATTGTTATCTTTGAAACTATGAGAAACATATACATACAACATATAGATACTTACACTGTAATACGTTAAATTGTCTATGTTATTTACAAACAATATCTTTTCGCCGAGGATAGTTTCTGTAAATAAAAATATATATTATTATTATTTAATTTTCATAAAATATTTTAATTTTCATAAATCATTTGTACATATATATAAAGTAATAAATTTATTAATTCTGAATTGAAATAAGTCTCGTCATCTTAACGGTTCACTTAATTGTCATTTACTGCAAAGGTGAATAAGAATGGACAACTACATAGACAACTTTCTTTCTAATTCTGGATAATCGGTCAAAGCCGTGAATAACTACAGTGTATAGAAATGTATTTTATTGTATTGTAATGGTATATATAACTTATATAAAGATTTAACCACATAAGTAAAGTTTATATTAAAAAGTAATGTACTCCACTGTTACATGTGTATTATTATTACATAAATCTTTATACGCTTTCATTACTTTTTTTCTAACCTGGAGCGCTATAATAGTTTATTTCGTTTAGTTAATTCTACTAAAGTCCTTATTTTTTCAAAATAAATGCAAAGAGATCATAATATGTATTTGTGTGACGTATTCAATAAATGTGTTTGTGTTAAACAATATTCTTATAGTACTGACCACTGCTCCCTACTCCAATACTATTGAGTTCATCTAACTCTCCCTTTCTAATAGTTATTGTGTTATAATCTTCACTGTACCGGTACATCTCCGCAGACAGTATGTCTGTGAACTCATCGCACCTTTTCATCGTGTGCCATCTTCTTTGTATTTCATTTAGAAATAAGAATGCTCTCGATCGCTGGCAGCACTACAAAAATAATTATAAAAATAAGTTATTGGTAACTGTTAATTTAATTAATTTTAATTTGTTCTGGGGTCTAATTTTATTTATTGCAAAAAAACTTGCATTATTTTAACGATTTTGGCAAAAATTATTGCGCATATAAATTTATACAAATTTTTGAAAATCCTTTTATTAAAAGCGATATGAAATAATGGTAGATTGCTTCATTTAAAAATAATTGCGTGTCTATAATTTCCAATATACGAATTAAAAAAAAAATTATCCTTTAAAAATATATTCAATCTATTTTATACTAGGTTTAATTATACTTACTTTGTCTGTAATACAAAAGTAGAAATATTTCTCCTGCACGATATAGTGAAGCAAATAATGTCCATGGGAGTATGTCATTTTGTCATTACCGCATGGTATTTTAGAGAGCACTTCCTCAACAATTTCCATAAAGTTCCCATCGCACGAAGCAAATTTTGATAACAATCTTTTATCACAAGCCACCGCACTAAATAGAATAGGCATTTTAATAAGTTTAAAGTTTTTTTGATGTGTCACTATTTAAAGTCGCGTGCACTGACACCGGGAAAAGAATTTCATTGTATCCATGAATCGTCTAAATATAAACACATTCACTGCTATATTGTATTTAAACTTCTTTTGATGCTAAACTATTGAATGTTCACATGCTCTATGTAAAGTATATGTAATAATAAAGTTATTGTATGAATTTCTTCACTAAAAGCACGCACTTCTCGCTCGCAATCCGGTAGTATTGGTAACACCTACGCCTCTCTCGTAGTTATGGAGTATAAACAGCCACTATCATACAAATCTTGCGATCGCATTCTAAAATTATTACTTTGTCCGCTCGATGCTAAAAACACACTTGTCAGACTCGAAGTGTCACACGGGCCGCCAATAAATTCGATACATTACGACAACTGTTCGCGAAATACACTATTTTTTAATCCGTTTAGTCAGACACCGTCTTCGATAATCGCATTACCGATATATTCAATTCAAATTCTTTATTCAGAAACAACATTAGAAAATATTTACAAGTCAATTAATTACCTACTGTGTTCTAAAAAGCAGGATAGCTATATGTATAATATATCATTCATATAGTAAATTAATAGTCTAACGCAAAAAATCCAAAGAAATAAATTTCATCGTTCTAGCTTCAAAAAGGCCGAATTTTTATATCGTATTTTATTTTACCCCCTTAAAGGTAACGTTATTATAAAGTTTTTGTTGTATTTTATGATGAAAAGAGAGGAAGGGAGACAGGACTATCAGCAGATAAAGAAAAAGTTTTTTGTGTAATTGAAACACAAGCAAGTTGACGGTCAACCTGGTGGTATGTGACAATCGTTGAATCTCTTACAAAGCATGGTTAGCAGTAGTAGGTGAGACAGGTGTGAGTAGTCACAGACGACTTTATGCTAAGTCTACATATATAGCAAAAAAAAAAAAAAAGAAGTGTATTAAGATTTAACGAGAATGACCAGTATACTCATAATGGCAAGAATTCCTCCGTCAAGAGCCGTGACCAACAATGAATTAATGAATTTTTTTTATTATAAGTATTCAATTATATTTATTAAAATAAGTACTGTATGAAATGTTTGTATTTTTTCCAGGAACTATTCGAATTGGTTCTGCTAGAAGTGTTCCCTGAACTAAAACGTTATCATTGAAGTGTCTATAGGTAAGAAGGAAGCACATGACAATAGAATAATTGATACCAAATGTTTATACACTGTCTTACAGGGATTTTATCTGACATTTCTCACTATCTTTGATACTCTATGAGAAACATTCCTTTTGTATATTTTTACTACTTGACTGAGTATATTTTTTATAATAAGTTATTTTTAAAATGGAGTAAAAATTAAACTTTTAATTATTATTTGCAATATGATTGCCATATATCTCATTATGTTCTACTAATTAGTAATAAGTTATGATTACAATTTGAAAGGTATATGTTACTTAGAATTGTATTATGTAAAGTTTTGTTAGAGGTTTGTGCCAAAGAATGCACTCGATTAAATTATCAAGGTTCAGGTTTTATATTTTTTCAATACAGATTATTATTTTAATATAACTCATGATTGAAGGGAAGTGATATAAGATGGAGCGACACATACAAATCTAGCCCATATTCATTCAAACACTAATTATCTATTATTCTTTCAAAGTAGTTTCTTGATTTGAAAGAATGTGACAAAACACTATAGTTAAAGCTGAACTAAAATTTATTTAAGGAGTTTGGAGAGAGGTAGCAAAGCTGTATACAAACCATTTTAGAAACTTGAACATATGATACAATATATTGTGTAAGTTTAATGTTGTCCAGTGCAGGTTTTTGAGATTAAATAAAGTATTTCTAATGTAAATCTAATGGGATGGTGCCTGATCTGTTTACGGCCTTAAAGCAATGAAGTATTATCCCAAGTGTAAACTGAAAAGTTACCTGATTTTATTTACCTAAGTAAATTTATAAATTCGTTTTAATGGAATTATTATTTTAAAATCTTTATTTTCGTTTTATATAATTATAGCTTTTACGTAAACTATCAATTTATTTATGATTGATTAAAAAGTGTAGTATAAGGTTTGCAATTCCGTATTTTAATTTCATTTCAGCTGGAAAGTTGACATAAAAATGTCTATACAGTTAGATCTCATTGTAATTTTAGCCAACTTGTAAAACATTTATGTATATATCCCAATAATAAGTTTATTTGCGGACAACGTTATAATTTGTTTTTCATACTACTTTCTTGATGTATGATAGCGTAGCGGATTTTGATTGCCGCATGCATCCTCATTTAATGTGCGAATACTGTAACTACCAAGTAATTTTAAGTAGCTGTGACGTGGTCGAGTGGAATGAGTAGTCTTGCTCACTAAAATGTTCAGACATGTGGCGGCGTAATGGGCCGGGTCATTGGGCTCCCTAAAATATGGTCGAGCGCAGTGATGGCTGGCTCATCCGTCATACTCGTGAACGAGTGCTGCTTGTAGGGACTGGTCTGCTCTTATCACTACGACTGATTTAATCTTATTGTATATTTATATTTGACCCAAAAAAAATTGTGCTGGTTGGTAGTTTGTATTCACACATTTCGACTTGTAAATGTAAACTTATAAGGATTATTTAAAAGAACAACACACAAGTTTCTTGCTCGTTCTACTTGTGATGAGACAGCTTTCCGAACAAGCGGTAGTTAAAAAAATTGTTATGACTATTCAAAAGTGCTTAAATTAAGTTTATTTGAATAAATGATTTTCTCTTCTATTCTATTCTATAAATAATACTAATGTGCTGAAATTTTTATTTTTAACTAGCGAATATCAGACAAGACAGAGAGGTTAATTGATTTGATTTTATTATTATTTATTATTTTGCAATTAATAATTAATATGTACTTGTGTATATACATAAGTATACTGTATGTACTTATGATATATAGTCATACTTTAAAAATATCTTGATAGTATTTGCCGCAAAAATGCAGGAATGCATATTGCTATATATGATGCAATAGCTGAAATGCGGTAAAGCAGAATGCGTGGTTCTAAACTCTAATTACTATTAAAACGACACATACGTAATATTATTCTGTGATGTCCGATGTTTTATTTATGTCAACAGTTGTCACTGTCTATAATGTGACTAGGCGGTTTGTCGTTCCAAATCGTGCATATCAAATGCGTGAATTCTACGTTGAGAAGTGGCCTATATATCCAGATTACTCTATATCAGTGTTTCCCCACGTGGGTCCCACGCCCCACAGGGGGGCAAGTCGAACATAGACTCTATTAAAATTAATACGAATATCAGTTTTTTATTATATGTTTGGAAAAGTTTCATTAACAATTTCTTAGTGATTTCTTCCTAAAACCTATAATTTAGGTTTCTTTTAGTGATTAGAAAGTTTCTTAAGTGAACAATTCAAATTTTTTATGTTATAAATTTTGTAATGTATAGAAGAATAGGATATACATAAGAATTTTAAAACGGGGAGGTAGGGCACTAAAAGTATTGGGAAACACTCCTCTATATCTTTATGCAGTTTTCTTGCATTTGCACACTGTAGACAAAATGGTATGATGGTGATAGTAGTCTAAACCCTTATGTCCCTCAATAGGCCTGTAAATGATTTTTGTGATGATGAGTTAAAAAGTAGAAATTTTAGTTGCACCTATAATGCATGTGATACTCACCATCTATGTATAGTCACCAAATTAATTATGATTATGAAAATTAAGAAAATGGGTGCATTGAGCAATTGTTACAATAGCACTGTATAGTTCTATTTCACTTTTATATTAGGTATTAGACGAAAGTCCTGTTGTAATGTCTTCAAGAGTATACTTTAAATATTGATGATAGCTAGGTAACAGTGGTGGTATTTTATCAGAAGCTAAAAATTATTTAACTAAATTCTATTATTTAGTAATATAGAATATAATATTAATTATTACTTTTTCACGCCTTACAGTATATATATAGATGAATGTATATACAGTTGAATATTTGGTGTTCTTTTTGTTGTTGCCATACTATAGCCATAAATGCAGATGTGGATATATAAAATAAAATGGTCTACTTGGACGCTATAATGACGCAGAATAAATGCTATGCATGTTATTTGCTAATAGATATATAGTTAAATATATTATATATAATTTTTGTGACGTGTCATTATGTTGCTACTTGTCTTGCCACAATGTATGTAGACCATACTTGCTATATCATTGATGTATCGAAGTTATTCGTCGTATAGTAGAAAACGAGTGAATGCAGTATTAATCCCATAAAAATGAGAGCTTAAATAATTGTAGGCGATATGACATTGAAGACAGACTGAGAAAAAGTGTTTATGCACAATAACTCTTTTTATATTATCTATGATTTATTTATACTTTTTAAGTAGAAAAATGTTATATATAAGTTATTCTATCTTCTTCTGTTCTATCCCAAATTTTCGTTAGTCATTATAATAATTATTTTAAGATATTCCTTAGTTCACAGTCTGATGAACGAAGCATCGATCAAGCTGTTGCATTATGTTTATCAGATTAAGAAAGAATGTCACGCTGGTTGTACTTATAGAAAGAATGGGTAAAAGTGGAGAAGCGAAAGAGGTATATCGAGCAAGAATTTATGGAAATGTCGGTATGGCATGCTTTACGATAAAATATACCAGGCGATCTTGTATGACTTGGAGCATTGATCTTTCCATTCTATCTCTTAAACCAATATGTAATATATATATATATGCTCAGATGTGACGGCTGATAGGCTCCATTGGAATAAGATGACATATTGCGCCAATCACAAATAATAGAATGAAGGCAAAGCAGTGATGAAAAGAGAATTTCATTCTATACACCTTTTATATAGCCTGTACATGCATTGTCTTATCATTTATTTTTATTAACCCCAAGTGACATGTTGCATATTATTTACACAGTTTACAGTAATATTATTTAGTATTAAGTATGTCATTTAAAAAAAAAACTATGTTCAATATTTAAAGAACTTTCTCTCCAAATTGCATTTAAGCAAACATGAGTAATGCACATTGTATACATGTGTACATTATCAAACAAAAGCTTTATTCTATTTATTTGTAAAACCATTTCCTTTGTATCTCTTAAGTTAAGTGAGATAGAATTAAGTGTTGGCAAGTATTGAAAATACTTGTTTAGTTAGGTATTGCATATTATACCATAGTTAGGTATATACCTACTTAATATTTAATGTCTATTTTTATTAACGAAATAATTTATTTGTATTCTCCCACCAAATTTGTATCCTAATAGATATAAGCACAAACAAGTACATTAATACTTGTATGTGATACTAAAATATTGTTTTTATTTTATACTCTTTTACTGAAATTATATTAATATATACTGCGTCTATCAAAATTCGTAAATATTAAATTCAATGTTGCTTTGGAAAGAGTTATTTTGTATGTGGTGTCTTTAACTATGTACTAAGTGTTATATTTGCGGTTGTTGATTAAAATAAATGGATCTGCATGTAAAAGTACCTATCTGTATTGTATGTTGAACAAAATAAATTATTGTACTGCACTTTGCGTATTATTTCTATTCGGAATTCCCTAAGTAGCCATTTATGTGTGTTTCTTTAAACAATTAGACATCACCGCCTAGTCCCTTACTACCTTTCCTTGGTCTAAATGGTTACGAGTTCGAATTTAACACTTGTCAATTCTAATATATATTTGTTATCAAATTTCAATATTTCAGATAATCTTGCCCCAGATTTCCAAAACGCTGTTACTATATAGTCGTTGCCCAAAAGGTTTTGTAATCAAAAAAATGTCAATCTTGATGGAAACACCGATATCAAACCCAAATAATTTAATAAACAATAGTAGAGTGGCCTTCTATCGTGTTGAATTCAAATAATGTGGATAGGTATATCAAGTGTTGCGTTCACGACGACGTCGAAAGATGACCATTTCAATAACTATCCTACACATATTGTTTTCTAAAATATATATTAAGAAATAAAACAACAATGTATTCGAATAATTTCTATTTTTAAATTCTCAGTACAATTATAAATCAGACAACAGTTTCAACACCTCGCTAAGGAGGCCCCTCAAAGGTGTAAAAGCTGTTTAATTCGTTACCTAATTACTTCACTATACATAATTTAATATCGAAAGTAATAAAAAATAATAATTAATTTATAATTTGGCACATTCGCACAATACTTTGTTTTTATTAATTAAAACAAATTTAATATTTTAAGAATATAACGATAAATGAATACGCATTGTGCGTTGTGTTCATGTGCGTGCATCTTTGTGCATTTCGCAGATTAATTAGACTTCGTTACAGCAGTTTGGACACTAACAAAACATATATACTATGTATATATAAATAAACTAACCATCATCGTTGATTAGGTACTCATTCTATAACTCACAAAGCATCTGGTATCACAGCACTCACATATTTTAACTTTCTCATTCCTTATAAGCTATATAACAAAACGGATTTACATAAAATATATCCTTAGAACTAATATGAAACACTTCTCTATCATTTGATTATCCAAACCTCTTTAATTCTTCTAAACTAGACATGTGGTATGCTGTAGCAGACATGCCGACAATGTCGTGGAATAAAAGAGGAACGAAATATCTTTTTTATAATTATTATACATATCTGAAAAGTATCATGTATTAGACGGGGGCGGATTTAGTGAATTTCTTTTGTAGTAATAATAAAATAATTTATACACATTTTTACAAAATTAAATTGGACACGTATTAAGTGCTATGAAATTATATTGTTAAATTACTTACTAAATATCAACTGGGTTTCTGTAACATTTTCATAAACATCGTTTCTCTAGCACACATTTATACACATGTTATATTGTTTATATATAGAGAACATAAAAAGGCCGTACGTTTTTAATTTAGTTTGCTTTTACAAATCTTTAAAAGGAACTTTAATCACAACATATTATATCTACAAATTGCATTCTTAGATACTCTGCATAATTCAATGAAATATCGTCTATTCTACGCGCGTTATGGCATGGTATAAATGGAGTGAGAGGTCGCTGAAATGTAATTACCTAAAGTTCACTATACATCTACTCTACAAGACAATTACGAGAATTTATTGTTACTTTTAGTCTTGTCTTTATGTCCAAAAATCTCATTCGGTTTTTTTTCCACAAGAAAGCCTACTAATTACTGTCATCCAAAACCTTGATATAACGCGCGATAATTAAACGATATTGAATTTGACAACAATCAGAAAATATGCTTTGTCATCGGTGTTGTCACCCTTCCTAACTCTACCTTAGATTAAAACACCCTGTGAAACTTTATTTACGTCCTCTTGTTTCCAAGACGCATTTAATCCAAAAATGAACAAAGTAAAGTACCACTATTCTGGAAACAAAAATGCAAATAGGTGTCCTCATATTAAATTATCGTAATTATGGTGTCGTAACAAGAGAACAGTTTTGAATTCAAACTAATAATGGAAGAGCGTAGCCAATGTTAATTCTAGATAAAAGCTAAATAATTTTTGATATGAGAGGTGCTTCTGTCGGCAACCCTTCACAACGGCAGTCATGGTCGCGTCAATTGAAATTAAACGTAGATCCAATTTAGGACACTGATGCCTTTGTATAGCATACCAAGTATAAATAAACTATTATTTACAATGCAATATCGTATCGATTTGTTTGACAAAAAACGTCGTAATTAAAACTAACTATTTACATTGATATTTTTATTGTCACCATCATTATCTTGGTGAATTAATTCTAAGAGAAAATTCTTTATTAAAGAAATCGGCAACCCAAATATAAAATCTACAAACACTGCCATTATAATGTTATCTCAAATATTTTGGTAGCTCTGTACGTTTAATTTTTTTTATTAATCATTTCCTACCCCGGTGGGCAGGGAATGAGAAATCCGGGAGATCGGTAGATGTACTTATTGAGGACATTTGTCTCACAATTTATCCCTCATATACAATTATATTCATGTGATCCCATACCTCTATACATCTATTATTACATAATCGTAATTGTTAGTATATATATAAATATATAATAGCATTCCCCACTTTCACCCCATGAGCCTCAGGGCATTGAAAGTAAGGAGGCTGGTATAAAAATAATAATTATAATAGTAAATATGTTCTTAATTTCTTTCACTCCATTCCCATATAAAATATATTAAATCCACTCATTATATATATTTGATAATTTAATTTTACCTTTACACATTTTACCTCGGTAGCACACGAAAAAATTAAATAGAGTATCCAGACTACTAAGTTCAGAAAAGTAACTCACACCTAGCGCTACCTTGTAAATGAGTTCTGAGAATCATCAGAATGTTTAACATATCTGACAGCGTGCTACCGTAGTAAAATTATTTAAAATTTATTTATTCCTATCGTTTCAATTAAATTTATTGAAAATTTTAGTCGAATATGAGAGTACTTTTTTTAAAGTAATTTAAGTAAACATATCTATGTACATAGAGCATGTTGTCGCCTACATTTTCTATTTATCTAATATCTGCCTATTTCTATAAACTATAACAGTAACCATATTTTATATGTGTGTATTACGTGTCCTAATTGTACCAAAACCCATACCGGCATAGGTATATGGCGGTATTTCTTTCCATATAATTACGATAGGAAGTTTATCAACTTATGATAGCTCAATATAAGCTAATGCTAATACCTATTCTACGTTATGAATTTCAAATGAAACCATGTTTCAAAGTAGGTAACATTGCACTTGGTAGAAGTACCTATATTATTAACTAACAACTTGATCTTAGCATAGGTTCCTACAATCTTACGTATATCCATTTGGATATTCTTCAAATCTGCAATTGACGATTATTCAATAGATATATATAGGTCGGAATGAGCAAATCAATTCAACACTAGATTAACGATAATATAATCAATGAACGTAATGTAGATATTATTACCTATGTACGAACTAAATATTTATTAACTATAAATGAGAATTTCAACACATGGTTACAAATTATTCAAAATAGGCCAACTCATACATAGATATGGGCAACGAATCAGTTAGCGCTCCACATGTCGTCATTAAATATACACATGAACTTACTTAATTATATAACAAACACATCAAGATTTTAACACGATGTAGAATCTATAACATTCGTTATTATTGTTGTCAGATATAATAAGTACACATAGAACATACACATGTACTAATATTTACTATAGTTATAGATGGGCTCCTATTTGAGTGCATTGTCTACCGTTCGCAGGAACGGAGGCTCACAGATAGGTATAAACGCAACTGACTACCAGTCTTAAACCGAACAATTCATGGTTCACACTTGTTTACTGTTCATTTCATATTATACACTTTCGTCACGCGTTTATATTATTTGCAAATAATGAGTGTAGCTTTCTTTATTGTGTCAAATTGACTCTAGTAAAGGGCGAGTCGAACTGAGATCGATATGCAAAAAAGCGTCACAATTGAATTCTCGAATCCGTAGCTGCCTCCGTTCTAAATCCATTAGTTGTAGACGCAACTATCCTACATTGGTTATCATGTTATCATCGCTACTACTAGCTACTCGATTTTATCCGTAAGCTTTATCCCGTTATTTAGTCACTTTGCTACTGCCGCTTCATTGTTGAATTCAAGCAAATGGGTGTAAAGTGACGGGTTCGAAGTCGTCGTGCGTTGCGGGACGCGAAGGGGGCTGCCGGTGCGGCGGCGGCGGGGGCGGGGGCAGCAAACTTGTCCCTTCAGGGATGTACACGTTCGTCACACGTTCCTAAATAATTTACACTTATTAGCACAGATCAATTTGTATTGTATAAGAGTGGTACCGTCCTTATGAGAATTGAACCAATATTTAATTTATTTATAATACAACAAAACACAACAAAGAATTTATGTGTTTTCATTGAGACAGCCTTACATATGCAGAATACATATGCAGCCTTACATATACAGAACCTTTAAAATAAATCCCTACAAACAATTGCTGGCAAATATGCTGTGCTGAAAAAATATAAGTCACAAGAATTCATACAAAAGTTTATAGTAAACACGAAAATATTGGTTCAAAATTATACCTGATTTTTGTCATATTTGAAGATGCCTTGAAAACGATTTGGCCGACGTTCTAGTGCTTCCACTCCGGTTCCCGCATTACAACTGTAATTGGGGTTGTGGAAAGAGATGTGCCCACTTGATTCGCTGTAGTTCTCCTTCAAATCGCCGCCACGATCTCGGTTGATTCGCACTAGAAAAATCGAGCTCAGTAACAAAAGCAGAATATCAACTATCACATGTAAAATTCGTAATATACTCACCACAAACGAATGCTATCACGAGTATACCGATGATGAGAGTTATCATTATGCCTACTATAATTACAATCGCACCGACGCTCGTTTCAGGCACTGCTGTCGGAATTGGCATCAATTTATCTCCGATTTCATTGTCCGCATAGTCATAATTTGTAGGGTAAAGTGATGGCATTTTGGCATCGACTCGAGTTGTAGGTACTGTTAAAAAAGAAATGTTTATTTTCTTAAAGTAACATTTTCTCATATAGCTCTATTGGGTTGACTGGAAGAGATCTCTTGTAGAGATAAGTCCTCCTTGGTAACATTAGTTGTAATTAATATTTACAAACGTATTTAAGTGCAATAAAGAATATTTATTGTTTATTTATAAGATTAAATAAATATTTTGAATAAAGGAGATTATTATGCACATTAGTAAAGACAACATAATCATTTCAATAAAGCTACTTACTTGTTGAACATGGTCTAGAGTCGGCTTCATCTGGACAAGCACAAATGTAATCGTGTGCCCTGAATAGACAGAGATGGGAGCAACCTCCGTTTTCTTCTTTGCAGGGGTTCCATCCGTGCTGTTTCTCGGATGATACAGCTTTTATTTCCATGGGCATTTCTAGATCAGTTCTTATAATAGTAATGTTTTTACCAGTTCTTTTGTCTGCCCTCATTATTGATTTTTTGTACCAGTCCGTCCAGTATATGTAGTCATTGAACTGAAACCATAGTCATGTGTTAAAGTTAAAAGAGGGTATAAAACATACTTAAGGTTATGTTCCAACTTAAGATTTCGCCGCCAATTTGATTGAATTGAATATTATGCCCGTCATATCAAATTTCCTAATTATTGTGACTAACTCTCTATAACAGTAAATCACAATATTATTGTGAATCCTTTTTCACTTTTAATTTTAATTTACAGAAAAAGTAGTAATACAAGGTTGATATAACTTGCGGAATTTAATTAAATGTATACCCATATCACATAAAACACCCACCTGCGTCATTCCGAACGGATTTTTAGCTTCTGGCACCAACTGGACTCTGTGGTGTCCATTCAAGTCCGAGGTGTCAATTCTATCCTTCAGAGCATCTGTCCAATATAATCTTCTATCCTTGTAATCAATGGTAATACCATTTGGAAATCCTAAGTCTTGTGACACAATTGTCTTTCTTTGACTTCCATCAAGGAAAGATCTTTCTATACTGGGATTTTCACCCCAATCACTCCAATAAAGGTATCTGCAAATATAGTAGAATTATAGTACATTATATGAAGAAGGTAATAAAGGTAACTTTTGAAAATATTGTAACATTATTTGAATAGTATGATATTCAAAGAAGTCCACTATCTATATTAATATTGTCTATATTAATATATTTTAATGATTAATTAATCTGGCGCACTAATCGTGTGAACATTTATAAAAAAATTGTGCCTATTTTAAAAATAAACAACGTTTTATAGTATTCTACCTAATATTAGGTATATTAGATGGAAAAACGTTGTTTATTTTTAAAATAGACACAATCACTTACAATCTTCCATACATATATGTATTGACAAACAGGCAAACAGCACAGAATATTTATTGTACTATCCTAGACCTATAATGTAATTCCTAAATAAGTCATAACACAGTATGGCTAGGTGATATCGAGATATCTTGGAATTAGGCCATAATACAAATTGCTGTATTAATTTTAAATTCATTAAAGTCCAAAATAAGTTAGCAGTCTCTGTCGGTTACTCATTCTAAGGGAAGGTATTACCTATAATAACTTTACTGTATCGTGGTAGGAACATATAAAATAAATAAAAATATATGTATACGCAATATGTACCCTTTAGCAGGAAACAGAGCAATTGCTCTAGGTTCCGTAAGATCACTGATTAAAGTTTTCCTTGATGTACCATCCAATCTTGCCACCTCGATTACCTGCAATTAATTTAGAAATTGATCAGTTTTTATTTGTCTTTAATTAAAAAAATATATAGTAAATTACATCTTAAGTTAAACATACTTTAAATTCGTTGTCCGTCCAATAAATGTTATTCGCAATCCAATCTATTCCAACGCCGTTTGGATTATCCAATTTGACCTTTATAACAACCCTGGTTTCACTCATATTTAACATATTTATTGACCTGAAATTAATAATTGTTATATAATTCAATGACAAATTGTGTAAGACTACTGGAATTCTACTAAGTTTACTTCACGTTCTCGTTCACGAAACTCACTAAACAATTAAACTAACAAAAGCTGAAAGGTACTATCGAGCTATTTAATAATAAAAAAATGAAATAAATTCACAACTTTCTCCGAATAATCTAGATCGATTATTAAGTTAGAGTTCAGATCCTAATGTAGATCCTGTTAGATCTTGTATATAAATATATATTACATTTAAAAATCTACCTTATAATATCACTGTTGACATCAGTATAGAATAGCAGTTTATGTTCCCAGTGGAAGTCAACTGCAATAGAATTCTGTACATCTCTCAGAGGAAGAGTGACGTCCCACTGTTCTGGGCTATCAAGCGATAATATTGCTACACTTGTTCTAGTGGCAAATACAAGGAAGTTATCAGGATGCTTTTTGCATATCTTGGGATTTGATTCCGTTTGATTTTCAAACAGTATACCAGTGGGACATGAACATGAGTAGCCATGAGGCGACCTTAGGCAAAGATGAGAGCAGCCTCCGTTATTGGTACCACATGCATTTTCCAATATCTTCTCTCCCTGGAATAATCAATTCTTATTATATCTACGTACTATTTTATGACGAAGGATTTCAATTTGCAGATGGTTATTGCGGCATAGTAAGTAATATGAAATATGGAAACAACTAAAAAGTAAAAAAGATACCTACCTATATTTAGACCAATTAATAAACGATATTTTTATATAAATAAAATTAGGTATAGAGAAATTAAGAACTCAGATAACAATACTAAGGTTTCATATGCTTGCAAACTTATAAACTAGTGTTGCTAGAAGTTATAAATTATATGAAATATGAATAAATATTATAAACCAATAATTTTTATTGTTACGTACCTGAACAGCTCTAATATCCATAAGACCTTCAAGTTTTTCTCTTATTACTAATGGATCTTTTCCATTTGTCTTATTTGCTCTATGTAGTGCTTTTGTTTTCCAATCTGTCCAATAGATATGCGGACCAACGATCACAATGCCATATGGGTATGATACCTTACTGAGGACAGTACGACGATCGTTACCGTTGAAATCAGAGCTCTCGATCGTCAAAATTTTCGCATCGTTCCAGTACAACCGACCCTCTACATTGTCTATAGCGAGACCATTCGGCCATTTAATATTGTTGTCCACAATAACACGTCTATGGAAGTAAAATTATCGATTTATTGTTTAATTACTATTAGCTTTGTTATAGTAAAAGCACAGGTATTCCTGATTACTTCTTTTTTTTTATTAAGTCAGCAGTAAAATGTAAAAGTATAATTATAATAGAATATTGCCTATTATAGCTTGCAGATCGTTAGCTACCGTAATAAAGCGAATCACGAAAATATGTTTTAAATTGATTAAAAATATCGACATATTGTTATGTACCTGTTCATGCCATCCATGTCTGCTCTTTCTATTTTAGCCGCATGACCCCAGTCAGACCAAAACATATAGCCATGTTCGTAATGTAACGCTATGGCTCGAGGAGAATCTACAATATAGAAAAATACAAAAATTGATATATATGACACCACTTACTATATAATAATAATTACATATAAAATATAAATGAGCATGAAGTTAGCTTTTCCTACACAAAACTAAGTTGATGTTACAATAACTTCTGAGAGATGAACTATCTCAACATATCGAATGTTCTATAATGCAATATTAATACAAGTATATATTTACCTAAACTAGTCCAGACGAGAACTTTTCTGTTGCTGCCATCTAGTTCAGCAACTTCAATGCTGTTACGTCCACCGTCGGTCCAATATATCTGATGGATATAAAACATATTTAAGAAACCTGTTTAAAAATGCCGTAATATATTGAATACATACGATAATATACTATACCTTTCGGCCAGATGAGTCTATCACAATTCCATCTGCTGTATTAAGTCCTTTGCCTATTATTGTTTCTATATTCTCTCCAGCTTTGGTTGAGCGTTGAATTTTCCGTTCACCGGTATCCGTCCAGTATATGTGCCCTGAAAATATATAATAGCTCTTTCAATCATTAAAAGTCGAATGGCTGACAAATCTATTGAATTGTTTTATTCGTTTCCTTTAAGCTATAAAATAACAACAGAATCAGGCAGGTTTTAGTTTTTATAATAATCTTATCTGCATTTAAGATAATGTACTGTAGTATATACTAAAGTAATAAATTTTACAATCTTACCTGTTTTTTGATCAACATCAACTCCAAGTGCGTTCTTGAGCGGAGGCAACGGTAACACAACATCAATAAGATATGGTACATCTAAGGATACGATACGAATATCTAAACGGTGAGCAAATATCAAGAAATTTGTTGGACCATTTGCGCATGTTTTGCCATCCTTCTGCAAGAAAAATATAAATATTTATGACTTTAATTTATAATATGCGTAGATTTGTTTCCTTGTGATAATTTTCCTATAAACTTGCAACCACTCCTCCTACTTATTTACTAATACAATATAATATAATACTAATGAATAGATGAATACGTACGTTAAGTTTTATTCCAATTGGACATGCGCAACTACGGCCACCAGGCCTCAAGAGACATAGATGGGAACACCCGCCATTATTTTTTCCGCATCTGTAAGTAAATCATCATTGTTTACTATTCTATTTAAAAAATATTTAAATTAAACATAATGTATGTATGTATCATGATCACATACTGATTAACGCTGCTTATTCGTTCCTTGTGAAATACTCTTACATCCATCAGACCCGCCACTCCGGCACCTAACGTTCGTCTATTGTCGCCTGTATACTTATTTGCAGCTTGTATCGATTGTGTTTCCCAATCAGTCCAAATAACTTCATCGCCGTACAAATCCAAACCAAAAGGATGGGGAAGATGTTGACCTAATATAAATAAAAGAACCATTAAATTATATTAATCCTTGGATGATTGAATTGGCGTAACTTTCCTCTCATACTGAATGTAAACTGATGACGTAGTATTCCTACTCTTGTATATAGGTACAGTGATACCAATAATTTTGTATTCTGTATCATTAAATTAAATTAAAGTTACTGTTCTTAATTAAAAGATCTTGAAAGGCCATCAGTACAATTGCTCAAAAAACTTTTAATCTGCTATATTGTCTACGGAGAAAAAATATTTCTACCTAGTACTTGTGCTTCGTCATCTGTCGTATCATTTTCTAAATATGTCATTATTTGTATGCTAATAAGTTCCCTTACCGATCAAAATGGTGCGTCCGGTACCGTTAAGGAATGCGTATTCAATTGTACGGTTACCCCCATCTGTCCAGTAAATGCGGTCGTTTGCGAGATCAAGTGCCAAACCATTAGGCCATGTCATGTTACCGAAGATCAATCGTTTGCGATTGCCACCGTCCATGTCGGCACGCTCAATGCACGGGACTACTCCCCAATCAGACCAATACATGACACCACCTAAAAGATTTTTTATATTTACAACAAACATAAGTATGAACCTTCTCATTATAAATGGTGATCGTTGTTAAAATTCAAATTCATTATCTTATGCATTCGTATTTTTACCTTTAGGATCGACCACAATATCTCTCGGTTTATCTATTTTGTCCCAGGCCAATAATGTCCTCATGCTACCATTTGCATTTGCTACTTCTATTCTGTTCGTACCAGCATCAGTCCAATATAGTTTATTGGTAATCCAGTCATATGCCAATCCAGCTGGGGATACTTTAACGTAAAATATAAAATTAGTTATATTATATATGTATAAGTAAGTACTTATTAAAATTATTCATTTAAGGAAGTAGCTCAAGGAAATCGGTATATACTCGAAGCAATACGAGGATGTATGACCTCTCTCGAACTTATCATCTCGGTAGGATTTATTTCTCTTTGTTTACACAATTAACGACGAGTTAAGACCTAATATGAATATGTATGTAAAAATAAAACTTACTTAAATTCGAGCCTACAATTATTGTTTGGTATGATCCATTCAAGTAGGCACGGTTGATTGTGTCTTTTTCCACATCCGTCCAGTATATTGAATTCGTGTTATGATCCCAATCCAAAGCTACAGCTGACTTTATATTTTCTACCGGTATCACCTGATCGGAATTCAACAATTTGACATTTAAATTAGTACATTTATTTCTCACGATAAAATACTATTAGCAATTTTTTTTACAAATTGCAGGTTTTTAATGAAAATAGAAAATGTCTAATTACCATGTCCAGCGAATCCGTTGGTTTTTTCGGATTTAATTGCTTCAATCTGATATCCTTACGACGTGCATATAACAATAATTTTTCGGGTGTTTCTTCACAAGTTTGACTGAAACAAAAATAATATTACAGATTAAATAATATTTTTAAAATTAAAGACTAAGTAAATATGTCTAAACTAAAACAAAATTAGTAATTACCCATCAGAATTTAAGTTGAAACCAACGGGACAGCGACAAGTGCGTCCATTGCTATTCGGAAGACATAAATGTGAACAACCACCATTGTTTCCATTGCAGCGATTCTTGTAGGTCTTCACTTGACGCAACGGATGATAACTACAACAATAGATCATTATAGTATAATAGAAATGTCATTTTTTAAAGTCGTCTTTACATTTGTATCAAGAATTTATTAGTTACCTATGAATATCCATCGGGACATTTAGGCCTGCATGAACGGTTTGTATCCCCATTCCAGTCTTCTTGTTAACAGTTGATATGCTTTTAGTATGCCAATCGGTCCAATAAATGGCATCCTCGAACAAAGTCATTGCAAATGGATGCGGTAAACCTTTATTGGTGATCTGTGAAACAATAATACAAGATTAATAAAAGCTGGAATATTATACTTGAACAAAACTATTAACTGCAAAATAACATTACCCGTTTTCGTTCCCTGCCATCAAAAGTAGCTTTCTCGATTACGTGATGCTTAGCATCAGCCCAATATATGTTTGATTCCATATAATCAATTGTAAGACCGTTGGGCCACACTATGTTATCATATATGACTGTCTTCCGTCTAGTGCCGTCCATATCCGCTCGCTCAATCTTTGGACTTGGTCCTGAAAATAAAAAAAGTAAACATTAAAATAAAAAATTACTTATTAATTATTAGTTAATTTACTATTTTATTACCAAAAGTTCAAAATAGTACAAATCACCAATTTGTATATTTTTACTGTTTTGAATTCCTATTTTTATTGTTAAAACATTAATTATAAACAGAAATTCACCCCAATCGGTCCAAAATACTAAGGCATCTCCGGGGTGTACAGCAATAGCTCGAGGTTTATCTAAATCATTCGCAGCAATCACGGCGCGCTGGGAACCATCAAGTGTTGCCACTTCTATACGCCTGGTACCCGAGTCTGTCCAGAATAGTAGATTGTGTATCCAGTCAACAGCTAAACCGCCTGGTGTCTCCAAACCCCACCTTATAACATCTAAAAAGAAATAAAATTATTGTTCATCTTTTAACTGTGAATTTCTAATTAACGCAGAATAAGCAATATTTACCTGACATGTTATTGTTATTCATTTCAGCAACTCGTATAACTCTCAAATTGTTTTCTGCCCAAAATACAAGCTTCTTTTCATAATGGAAATCTAAGGCTACTGCATTGTGGAGTCCTTTCACCACAGACATGTAGTTATCTCCTGTTAGCCAAACCTGAAGTAACAAAATATAAGTGAATACTTAAATTTGTGACAAGATTCGCATTTGTATATCTAATTGTCAATGCAGTACACCTGTAAATACATAATTCTTCCGTATTTGTGTTTATCGCTTCACCTTCTAAATGGCGGGTCTGATTTTTATGACATTTTGTGTGTATATTTCTAGAATCTCTATATGGTTTGAAAACAGAATTAGGCTGTTTACCCCAGTATTGATATACTTTACTCTTAATAACCCGCGTAAATGTGGAAAAATGTTTGGAATTCTGAAGTTGGATGAGTATTCTTTATAATGTATTTACCTGTCGTATTCCGACGCGATTCGAGAACAGTAATGTAGGAGATTCGCCTGTAGGCTTGCATGATCTACCATCTGGTCTCAATACATAACCAGTCATGCACCCACATCGAAAGCTTCCTACAGTATTTGAGCAGGTTTGTGAGCATACTGGGTCTTGTTCGTACATACATTCGTCGATGTCTCGGCAACTGTACATAAAATATTTTTAATTATTGTTCTTGGAAAATATAATTTCGAAATATTTATAGGTATTTTAACCGACCTCAAAAAGGTATATAGATATCTCTACAATTTCTTCTTAACCTAGTTAACTAATATTAATGATATTTATTTATTTTAATAGATACTTGTGCTTCTTCTCGTGTTTTGATATAAATTTTATCAAAATCACACCAGTAATTTTTGAGTTATTCTTAATAATTGAAAGATTGAAGTCGGGTTTATCGTTGTCTGGATACACGTATAACTAATTTGTTTGGAATGGATAAATTTTAAAAGTACGTATCCAAATTTAGAATATCTCTCAAACTTGAGCGCTGGAAGTTGTAATATGGGCTATTTAATTTAAAAAGAAATAGAGATCCCCATAATAATAGAATATCATAAGAAGTAAGGGGGTGTATCAGCTAGATTGCCAAGGCCGTCAAAATATAAAAAAAAATAAAGCAAGTTATATAATAATCAGTGTAATCAGAACGAACCTGTATCCATCGTCGGCCAACAAAAATCCCAAAGGACAATCACAAGCAGGCAAACCATCATAAGTAGTGATGCATATCAGCTCGCATTTGTCCTCGGCACCACAGGTCCTCCTAATGGGACATTTCTCTTCATCGTCACCACGAGGGCAATCATTCATGCCGTCACACACGTGTTTTCTATTTACACAATTCCTGAATGCGTTACTGATAAGATTTTCTTGGGATTTGCACATGTACTGATCTTCCTCACAAAAAACTTTACAATTCGTTTCATCCTCGCCGTCCATACAGTCCCGAACTCCGTCACATATCCAAGTTTTCTGTTGGAAGTTGTGTATTTGATATGAAAGTACTTTGCACATATAGTATACAAATTATATAATTTAATATACGTATCCATAATAACCTAGAGTATAAATATATTGATTTCTCTGGATTATTTATTCGTTATTTAAAAGTAAATAAGAAACCCATAAAGTAGAGTAGCTAATATATTATAATATATTAAAAAGAAACAGCTTTCTCAATAATTAATATATGCAGCTTTTTCTTTAAATTGCTAAATAAACAGGCACATAGTACAGAATTAGAACCTGTTTTTTTTAATATTTCACAATTCATCAGCATAATTTATCCCACTACTAATAAATAACCAATATCGAAATTAACCATCCATTACCATATTCCTGATTTTTCTTGCTCTTAACCGACTATTTATATTATGTCACACATTTAAAAGCAACAAAGCATTTAGATAGATATATACATAACTAAATTAACAACGGCTGTATTTCAATCCTACAATAATTATTATGATTTATGTAAAATTTGTTACATACCAAAATACATCGTCCTTCTGTACATTTGTACTCGTCTGAGGTGCAATTACGCATTGAATGTGGTTCACAATTGAGCTCATCTCCGCCATTTGAACAATCCCGTTCAGAGTCACATCTCCATCGCTCCGGAATGCATTTTCCATCGCTGCACCTAGTATTTTAATTGACCGTGAATTCCATAACCCCTTGTTTTATGTGGTACTCATTATATCGTATGGACAGTGAATTGTAATAAGGACTATTGGTTCCATGTTCATTATCTTTCCTCTTATTATCATATATTTGTTTATATTAAAATAATAATATTTATCCTTATGAGAGTAATATTATCAAATCGTTTTCAATTTAATCTACTACCATTTACGGAATTTAGGGAGTAGGTTTGTACATACATGCATTATGTAATATTCTCATATACATATAAGCATTTATATAGTAATATTCTCTCATATAAATAGCAAAATATCTTATTATCGTATCTCGAAGATAGTTAGACCAATTACGAAAAGCACTCAATTATTATAGTAAAACGAAATTTTAGTTGAAATGTGGTCTTACTTAAATTCGCCAGCATTACAACTGCCGGGCATCATGGGACAGGTGTCTTCATCAGTCCAGTCGCCGCAGTCGTTGTCTCCATCGCATTGAAACTCTTTCCGTATACATTTCTTATTGTCGCACTGGAACTCGTTTTCGCCACAACGAAGCAGATCTATAGCTGTATGAACAAATAAACCTAGGTTTAAATGTGTTTTGACTTGGAATAAACCTAAATCTATTTTAATAAGCACCTTTTTTATTATTGTTACATTATATGTGAACTTCGGTACCTACAAAAATCAAATAACTTTATAGCGAGTTGTAAGAAATCTGATTTATTAGTCTATATTATATATAGATGTAATAATGTGTATTTAAGTATGTACGATGAATTGAACTCTTTGGAAGCAAAGCGGTGTGCTGAACTATCTCAAATACTTCACAGTGTCAACAATGAATATTGCTTTTGTACCACCACATTTGGGATTCCGATTATGGCGATGTTAACGTTATTATAAACCTTGGTAAGTACTGTAATTGTCTAAGACACAAACATCTCTATACTTACGACATTCTGCTTCATCGGAGTTGTCAGGACAATCGGCTTCTTTGTCACAGCGCCAATGCAAGGATATGCATTCACCAATCGCGCACATGAATTGGTTGTCGCGGCATCTAGCGTTGAACAATATTTTTATTGTTAGTCATGCTATCTATGTATAATGTATATTATTATATACGAATGTTGATCAAGGAAATACATGTGAATAGACTCTACTCTACTCTATCTACTCGCCTACAAACTGTTCTATAATATACTCAGTATAGTACTTCAGTACTTATCCTATTTTCTTATTTTTATATTTTTATTATTTACTATGTTACCGTCTGTACCTACTCTTATAATAATTTACTAAATATTGCATGTTCACGTGCCGGTTATATCTACAATATATTGTTATTCTAATAATTTATCACTCTAATTTATTAAATTATTTATGTAGGTACACTATAATTAAATTTATTAAAAAAGGTTTGGGTCACGTAGACACTATGCAATTTCCAAATTGCAACATGTAACTGTTATGTAAGTACTATGCAATATTTTCTTATTTCAGACTCCTTATCTACCACCAGTTCGAAAAGTAATTCCCATAAATAAAAACTGGCTTTAGATCGGTACACCTTGTACGACCTAAACATAATAAGTATCCATTTTTAATATAATGAATTTTAAATTCCAATTGTTTATCTCGTATACCCTAGTATAGATTCAATAAATAAATAACAATAATAATAATTACTATTATTTAACCGTACTGTATACTCTTCTTTCAGTTGTAAAATGTTCTCCTAGGAGTCAATGGTTCTAGATCAGGCACCAAACTTTAGTAAACACGTAACTTGCCTCTTGTATATATTTCGGGTTATAAGAGAATCGATAAAATGTATATATTACAAAATATCATGATTATAAAATAATGAAAAATTTAAAAATAGAAAATAAATAACAGTTAAAGTAATTCTATATCTATAAATTAAAATTTTCTGGAAATATCTATTACAATTACAACTGTTACGATCTGTTTAAAGCTAATAGCTTTGCTGGAAAAGGATTATGTTTATGAATATTTTTCCTGAACAGTTTTTTTTGCTACAGTACGATTTTACATTGAAAGTATTACAAAACATCGCTCAGGGCTTTTCCATCGATATTTTAATAATTGGAAGGAGCGCTAATTAAATGGGCTTAGTATATTTTTTAAAATATATAAAATTAATTATTTTATTAATAAAAAATTATCGCAAAATCTATACTTTTAAGCCCTGAATACGTGTGATCTACTTTCTACAATCTGATTGACTTTATGATTTTAATTAATATTTCATTAAAAGACATTGTTAATGTTTATTTGTTCACAATTCACACTTTATTATGCAGTCAAAAGTTAATAGGTATCTACATCTGTTCATAAAATTTGTAGCATTAATTCTTTAGTTATATGTTTAAATTAAACGTAAAATCGAATTTCAATTTAAAAATAGAACTAAATTTTTTTTTATTCATTGCTATTTATTATAAAGATTTAATTATTTTTTTTATTTAATGATGTTGGGTTTGTTTCGTTTGTGTAATTTGTGTAATTCCTTACAATTAAGGAATATGTAGCTAGGTATAAATGTTCTAGCTATAAACACATTCGTTAATCACATCGATGATTTTGTTTTACAAGAAGCCCGCCCACGGAAGTTGGATATATCGGGCGTCTCCTTCACGGGACGCGGGCTGCGCGTAGGCGCGTTACCATGGTTACCATCTCAGCCCGCCGCGCCGCCGCCGCGCCTTCCCCCGTTCCGCGCGCGGCCCACCTCGTATTGATCTACCGACCATTACGAGCCACCCTGTATAACCCAGCCAGTGACAAAAGTGTGACATGACAAACAGACGAACAAATCAACTTCAAGCGAATACCCTCTTTTTATTCAGAAGTATACTCGTGGATAGATATTGACTTTACTTATAGAGAAAAAATACTTACGATGTTAGACTATCCAGATTCATGACGGTTTCTATAGAGTTTTATAATAGGCAAGAGTCATATTTATTTATTATTATTAATGTTCTCTTATTATAAAATTCATTTTTTAAGAATACATTCCCTTTAAAATTGATACACGTGCGATTGATAAGTAAAGTTCATAACGTTCATAAAGTTTCTGAATACTGTCAAATATTGTTCTATTTGATTTTAGACATGGAAAAATAAAATATTTACGAAATTCTATTAATAAGATTAGAGCAAACAATATTAAAAACTATTCCAAATTCATAACATTAGGGAGTAGTTATTGGAAAATATTGGTATAACAGACAAACGGTTCTGATAAAAACGTAAACACATTTCTTTTTAACATTATTGTTCAAAACAATGTAAATACGTCGTAGTATAAGTATCATTAACTATTTTAGTTCCGATAGGACAAAGATCATTTCTCTACTTTTTTGTTCTTATTATAATAAATTTAAATGAGACAAAAACATCTTTAAACATTTCAATGGATTCCATCATCATCATCAAACATTAAGATTAACAAGTAAATCGACATATACCTAACTATCTGACAAAACGCAATTCCTTATACACCCACACCCCAAATAGAAACTAACTCTTTCAGGGGTTGCGTAAATTGTGTTATACCTACGTTACATAGATGCTTCTTTACACAGCAAAATCATGGAAGTATACTCATCGAATATAACATAACCTACCTACTATCTATATATTTAAAACTGAATTGTAAATTCATAAATAGTAAAAAGACTTTCGTAATTATTTAGGGTAAATTATTATTATTTTCTGGCAACATTTTGGCAAATGCCAAGAAATCATTATTCCGCTGAATAGTATTCATGTACGTGTTCCATCTAGACTTTCTTGTTGTTTATAATTTATTTATAACCTATCCTGTTGAGAGCGTCTATTTAAGAAATATAAATTTACGTATTATTACAAACATATTTCAAGGATTGTTATTACAACAATTTTATTAACGAAATATTTCAAATAGCTACTTATGACGCTCAGTTAACAACATTGTATTTCTTACAACTCTATTATCAAGGCTATAAATGATGTTATTACGTGGGTAGGTATTATGTGCAAACCATTGAACTATAAATGTGTCGATTGCGTCATATGCAATATTATAAGATCGAGGATGATATGACGTCATTGAAATAGGTTTCATGACCTTAGGTCAGACAACTGATAAGCGTCTTGTGTCAAATACACACGTCCCCACCCACGTACTTATATACATAATGTCAGTTATCTGAGTAATCATATTGAAATTATATTAATATAATCAACAAGAAGCATCGATTTTATTTCAGAGGGGAATAGAACTCGTCTGCAAGCTTAGTCAGCTTGCTTTGTAAGCTATGTTTCGGTTGTAAGGGAGAAAAGGGAGAAAAAAAAGCGATTTTTATAGGATAGACATGACATCTTTTTCCGCGAGAATGCGTCACATGAGTGGTATATCTGCATTATGTGAAAGAAATACATAACCAGCACTACAGACACACGTTATCATAACATAACACCCATAATACCATTTATGCGTAGCTATTCCGAAGGACAAAGATGTAATACCTCCTATCCTGAAATTTCACTGCCTAATTTACACCTTACAACCAAAACACCTGAAAGCAATTTTCTTGGCGGCAGAAATAGATATGACTGGGGTACACAACTTTTTCTACCTCTGATATTTGTTACAGCACATATAAGGTAATAGTTATAGTATTATTTGCTGTTTACTTACTTGCCCCTGGTGCAGTTGGTCTCATCAGAATTGTCTCGGCAGTCGTTATCGCCGTCACACACCCAATCTTTGTGGATGCACAATCCGTTGGCGCATTGAAACTGCTCTGATGTGCAATTAGCAGCACCTATTACAAAAACTATGGTTACCTAATATATAGCTACCTAATTATTTATATGAATATATACAAATAGCTTTATAAATCTTTATTCAGTTCACGATATACTTTTCATCTCGTTATCAACATTACTTTAGTTTTTAAGGGTGATCTAGCGTAAATTTAGGTTAAAACTACAAGTAGAAAAACTTAAGATTCTAAATAACGTTATGTTACTTAACTACTAGGGGATCGTTAATTATGAGGACGGGATGATCATAACAGTTTACTAGGAAAGTAGTATAGACTATGGTAGTAAATTCCTGGTTAATCAATTCCTCCACGATAAACGACTAACTGACCTAAGTCCTCAATCTCCACTGTTAGCGTTTACCCTTAGTGTAAGCAGGTGAGACATGTCAAATTAATTTCTTCAAAAGACACAACTTCCTTGTCACAGTGATATTATTTTAATTTTATATTATATTATAATTATTTTATTTTCGACTCTAATTGATTTTAAATTAAACTTTTCTTTTGTTCTTGTGCTTGTTGATAATGTAGACGAAATGTTTATGTATTACATATAAAATACATACCACAATGCGTTTCATCGGAGAAGTCCCCGCAGTCGTTGTCACCGTCGCATTTCCATTCGATAGCTATACACACGTTGGTATTGTGGCATATCTCGCGATTTTCATGCTCGTCACAGGATCGGCCACAGCCCGCCTCATCTTCGGCTTCAGCGCAGTCCGCTACACCATCACATCTCTTCTCCATGGGTATGCATGTACAGGAAACCTGAGGACAATAGTTGGTTTAATACTTTTTGCAGTAATTGTTAAACTTTCACCTAACCAGTGTTTTAAAAACTTTTTAAATTTTCATTACATTATGTCCAAAAGGAGTAGAGCTACAATGAAAAGTGTTACAAAAATGAAGAAAATGTAACTCAGATGAAGTTACGGGGATCAGCCGTAGTCATTAAAAAAAGAAATGTTACCTGACATGAAAAATGTTGTTTGAGACATGGCAGATGACAACCACCGTCGTCCTCATGTTCGTCTGTATCCACCGCTACGACGTAAGATTCTTTATCACCAGTGGAACGATCTGAAGAAATATTGTTTATTTAACAAACAGCAGCAAACAATTGTAGTTCTCTAATTTTAGGTTCATTTTTACTATTTAATAATATAGTGCATCGCTGTAATATAATTAAATAATAAACACCCATAAAATACATAAACCGCAATGTAGGAACGGAAAAAAGGAAATATTAAACGATTTGAATAGATAATGATTAATTCATATAAGATTGATTAGTAAACTTAATTATCTCTTTGTTACACTAGATTAAAAGGAACATAATTTAAGGAGTCCTATGTTTAAATCTAATCTAATCTAAAATTATCTCTTCTAGAAGACATTTGCGTAGAGAAGAGAAGACGAGAGCAGAGAGATAGATAGACATACATAGCATATTAACGAAACAGAAGAAAAATGGCAAAATAAAATTCAGAGGTGCCATCACATCCATTTATAGCTGAGTGACAAACTTATTGTAAAAAAATCATGAAATCTATGACTCCTCCCAAATCTCCTATTTTCACGGGTCTTAGATATTGAGGATTTTAATATTAAATCACAAAATCCTAACTATTAAAAACGTTACTACCTATTGGTTCAAAATATATAAAAATAGATGTAACATAATTTATGCATGGTCCCTAATTGATTTTACTTTTAATTTGGGCTAAAATGTAAGACTTACGATTCCAAGGTTCAACGCGTGTGTAAGGACTGTGCGAATCTCTGCGTATCCCTTGTATGGGGACCGGTGCCATCGCTGGTGGTTGGTAGGGTGGCACGCGGCCGAACGGCGAGCGAGGGTCTGGTGCTTCCACCGACCCATTCCCTGCTCGGGGCACCGACAGCGGCGGTGATTCGTCCGCGTTCACTGTACATCATTTATTGGTTTACTAACTATTACTATTGTCTGCTTTTCTTGATAATTATCATTTCAACTGTTAGCTGTCAAAATGACATTAACGCCCCATCTGTAAGACCAATTACAGGACTTCTCGCAAAATTGGACCCGTCTGGATGCCCCACGCATCCAAAAGTGTATGCAACTCAGGTTTCAAAAATTGTTGGATACTCCACAGACGCGGCTATAGTGTCCAAGACCAATAATTGACACCTTCGCAGATGAGAGGTTATAGTATACATATCATATATCTGTCCATAGGATATAAACTATCTTCACGTCACATTCCCTTCAGCTGTTTAGTCATAAAAAATTAACCAACAGGAGACTTTAGCATTTGTAATTACTTGCTGATACTTTCCTGCGAAATTCTGTGCATAACCTTTTAACCCCTTATCAGATTTTTTGCGATAAAACATAACCTATATCCAAAATGCAACAAAAATAATCTAGTATTAGGTAATTTTAATGTCAAATTTCACTAGGACACCTTCAGCCGTCTAGTCGTGAGAATTTAACAAACAGACAGATAGATTTTTCCTTTTATAATGTGAGTACGGATTTACTGGGTACCCATTGAGTCACGAGACTTGCTGCATCAATTTTTCAATTATTCGCGTGTGTCATAACAAGGTGGTGGGGTTTCCTGAGGGGCGCTATTGCAAATGGAATGTCAATGTTATTGCCTAAGGTCATTTCTCCATAAGTAATATGCGGTATTTTTATATAAAAACAGAGGGACTTCCTCCTCAATTTAAAAGGAACCTTATAATTAAAGGGCGAGCACAATAAAACTTCATAGGTCGCAGTGTTACAGGTCTTAGCACCTGAGAATAGTCCAAACGCCTCAATAAAAAAAACTTTATAATTATAGTATTATCAACACATCGTAAACTACGGGAACATTATCTCAATTTGTATCTTTTTACTGCTATGTTCCACTTCTCTGTTTTCATTATTTTTTCTATTCTACTCTCTTTTGTTCTGTGACTGTCAGACTATTGAGTATGTAGTATATATTGATTTTATATATGTGTGTGTATATATAATATTTGTATATATTTATATAATTTATGATTGTATTTATCGTTCTGTTTATATTTTGTTGCATTTTATTTATTATTTATTATATTTGCACCACCAACATTTATTCTCTGCACCACCATTGCATTTTATTCTCTGTTGACTGGTAGAAAATGCCGCATGGTGTTAAGTCTGCCAAATATACTTTACTATATTTGGTATATTGTGTGCATTGAAGTTAAAAAAAAATTGTTGATAATATATATTATAAATATTGTTATCGCACTAACATTATAAACGAGAAAGTATGGATGGTGCATGTTTGTTACTCTTTCACACAAAACCACTGAACGGAATTTGATGTATATTTATAGTAATATATGTAGTTGTGTTCGCCGTTTCACTTGCGTTAACTTTATAGACTGTGTATTATTCGGATGTATAAGTTATATTATTGTAAATTAAAATCCATTCATTAATCTTTGCGTGAAAGAGGACCTAACATCATATCACATATGAAGTAAAAATTTAACTTGGTACAACTTAGAATTTTTAAAAAAATTCTAAGTTGTACCACGCTTTAAATGGTATATCCGTATTTCTATATATTTGTTTTTATTACAATACTTTATATACAATTCAACGTGTCTAATTCATAGCTACTAAACAAATGGACGGATTACGACGATATTTTTTATTTAAAAGCTTTTGAATTCGGCTATCTCTAGTTACAATGACAATTTGTCTAATTAATTAGTAAAGTTTAACAAAATACATACCACATAGCCAGAATAGAGTAACTGAGGTGATGTAGATAAGGATCGGTGCCGGCATGGTGATTGGTTCACCAATGGTGCGGAGCCTCACATCACTTAGGTGACCTGGGACGCGGGCGCTCGAACACTCCTCACCCATGACGGTCGTATCATGGCTCGCCGGCTGTGACTCACGGAACCCCCGGAATCTACAGCATTTAAATATTACAGGACGTGGAGATTTATTTTTCTATTTATAAATCGGCAAATAAATAAAAACAAAACTGATTTTTATTTATTAAAGGTAAAGCCTGGAGATCTGTAAGACAGGTTTCGGCCTAGTTCAGACTCCAGACTCTCAGAAGGAATAACTAGTAAGTTTTAAATAAAGTTTCTTGTGAGCAGTACCTAAATAAATAGTATTATTAAAAGATACATTACATTTGTTATTATTAAATGACTCGCCAAGTTGCAAGACTACAAGCTGTCTTGGGTTCTACATGATTTGTAGGCGAGAAGGTCAGAAGACCTCTGCTGCCTTTCTGCATAACATTCCTCTTTTACTGAGTCTTAACCATGTGAGAAGGCTCCGAGAGATGTTTGTGTATGTTTGTTTGCCACCATCGTAGTATAAAATATATATTACAGGATAAAAAGATATAATAATAATATGACGTATATACATAGCATTGTATCATCAGATTCTATGTATAATACACTACATGCAGAAAACAGAAAATATTTATTTGTGTCCCTTATAAACATTAAATATCAGTGTTAAAACCAATTATTCATTTAGGATATTCTCTGTCACTTATGAATTTAATTAATATTCGCCTAAAATAATAAATTGAATAGTTTTAACTCCGATCCTTTTTACCTAATTTAAAGGATCGAGTTTATTATTAAAAATAAAATAACTTAGAAACGGACGGAATATTATAATACCATTGATCTAACACTTCTAAATTTGTATTTGAGGATACGTTATATTCGTATTTCCGCAACATGTTTGTTGCTCCGTATTTATTTATCAACAGATTAACTTGTTTTACTATTAATCTATCTGACGAATACACCAGTTTTACTAGGAAAAACTATACTAATTCTTTCCATAATATGTGCTCTTGAAATTCTAAGAAACATTTACCCAATTTATAAATTGACACCGCCCTATATTCTAGCAGCTTACAGTATTATTCCTTTTATATCTAGGTTAAAGGTAAATATATTACTTTTTTTGCTTAGTTTTTTTCACGTATCACCAGCACGATCAATCGTTTTATAATCGCAACTTAGTAAACAATTCACTATATCAAACAAGAGATGAGCTGTTTCTGGCTATCAGCCATGTTGAAAATTGGCAGGATATTGTGGCGCATGCGCGGTCAGTAGTCATCCCGTAAGCTACTTGTTGATCTCATTTTCATTCACCACGCAGAGAACAGCGCATTCTACGCAGTTAGGTCAGCTTATAGGACCTTGCATGTAAATCAGTATTAAGCGCTGGGTCGATCATTATACTTCCCCAAATTCCGATACTGCGTTTACTATAAAGAAAATCAGATGTCTATATTCTCAAACATGTTCACTCATTGATAGAGATAGATGGTAGAGATAATACGTTAATTTAAAAATAGAGTAGGTTAAAGACATAAAGGATAATCAACTAAAATTATATGAGTAGTAACAAAGTATAGCTGAAATATTTAGTAATAATTAAGTTTTAAAAAATACTGTTAGTAATCAGAGCAGAAGTTTATGTAGGTGTGGCATCGTCTCGGTTTAAGACCCGAGATATAGTAACAGAGAAAGTACAAATTTTTATTTCTAGCTTTTATAACATTTATAAAATAGTTTATTCAGGTAACTAAATATGCATATTCAGATGACAGACCTGAATATGCATATTTAGTTACTACCAGATTAGAAACTGAAAAATATGTATATTCTATTTGTTTCATTTATATTGTTATTACTTAGATACACTGTTTAATATATCTTTGTATATTCTTTTAAACAAACACTTCAAAAATTTCTGTGTTATGAATCATCATGGGATTTAAAATAATGTCTATTATTGAAAAGAACTCTACAAAATTTGACAATTATTTTATCCAAACCAAAACTACAGATAAATTTAATTACAATATAAGAAGAACAATCATCTGTAATAAGTAATTCAATGTAAAAAGTAAAAAATCTTAATCGAATGAATTAAGTGTTATATGTACGTATTATACTTATACTTATATTCCTTTATATGTACTAAATATACTACACACTATATTTAAGTACCTATAAAGCGTCGACAATCTAATTAATGAAAACAGTTTATGATTGTTTTACCAATATTATCTTATCTGTAGTATTACTGTACTGCAGTATCAAGTAACTAAACCACAGTCAATTATGAAGTTCATTTACTATATTATATTTACGTAATTTTAGTGAGTACATATGCGTATGCATATGTACTCATTAAAATTACGTAAATAGTACATAAGCTAATACTGTTCTACTAAATATTTGTAAATCAATGAATTATAAATCAATTATCTGCAAATTATCTACTAGAATATTACAAGACAATAAAATGTCCTTAAAGTTCTTTGTAAATGAAGAAACATTGGATTTATATTTCCTGTTTAAAGTTTATTCAAATAAAATCCATAGAACATTTCAAATAAAGATTCAGTATCTTTTTAAAGAAAGAGAAATTAGTTTCTTCTATATTGCTTTATAAAATAAACGAAGAGGAAATATTATTGTATATTATATTATAACAAAATTTAGCAAATACGTATGAAAATTGAGCGATCAATACAGGGGGAGGGGATGACTGCGCGGTGGCTTGCGCCCACGCCCGCCCCCGCGCGCGTATCCTTCCCCCTTGCGCCCTCTTGGAACCCGAAATTCAGCACCTCCTGCCGCCCACGGGCCTGACCATGAAATTCAATTTTACGACGTCAAATAGCATTTTTGGCCAAAATGTTATTCTTACCACCTATTTTTGATCTGACAGCATAATTAATTAATAAAAAGTATACACACAATATCAAAACAATTATAAAAAAATAAAGATTTGTATATATTATCTATATAATAATAATATATATAAAATGTATAAAAAACGTATTAAACTTACATTATGTTTAGAATTTACCCACCTCAATCCGATAGGTGTGATAATTTTTCTGCAAGTAATAGATTCACAAGTCACCAAACAAAAGCGTCTTTAAATAGATTTTTGGGCGCACGTCACTGCACGACACAAATGTCCCCGGACGTAGATTCGTTAGATCTGTTCAGATGGCCTGAATGAGTTCTGCTGATACGTTATTGGAACATCTAATGTGTCCTGCTCGCGAGACTAATGGATACTAGGTGAGCTGGAACCTCGGTCGCCCCTCCGCGCACACCCCCCTTGCGCCCCCGCGCAGTCTGCGCCTCGTCGATGAATGGAGCCCGCCGCCCCTGCTGCCTTTCTCCTGTATATAAATCCGTTTCAACACTATTATACATTTGTTTTGTATCGACTACTGTGAATAACGCTTGATGAAAATAGGTGAAGTGCTTATAGATATAGGTGAATTGACCTGATATTTTTACATCTTCGATATTTTTTATCTTGTTACAGTTCTAATTATAAAAATTGTAAAAATGCTACACAACATATTTGAGAGATTACTGAGCAATAAATTGTTACATTTATACTTATATCTTCTTTTCATTCCATTTTTTATTATTTAAGTCAACAAACGAAACGAGCAATGCTTAATTTTAGAAAACGGAATTTCATTTCTTTGCTTTCCTAATCAATTTATATAATAAAATTTCACTGAATAGGTATACTTTTGAAAAGTCATAGTAGTTGTCTTATTAGGTCAGTACTATTTTCTCTTTAGTTACTAGTACCATAGATTTTATAAAATGCCTCAAATACTCTACAACGGCGCCTAATGCCTGTTACCAAGCAGCTAAAATTAGCCTGATCATTTATTATTGCACTACGCTCCTACACATACCTACATAACAATAATTTGTATGAATACGGAGCATTGTAAAATCTACTGTTCAAAATTCATCGTCTTAGTTATACGCTTTACCATTAGATGGCTCTGAGCTTGTATTACGTAATGAAACCTCACGTAGGCGTTCGTAGCAAGCCTACGAAACCTACTCTACATGCTCGTCAAGCCAAGGCCCGAACGCATAGCGTACGTAGCACAAAGCGCTACGGTGCTAGGGTTATGCCAATTTTTCTATTCAAATTTCAGGGATAAGTATAGATGGCGCTTTGGACTATCTTCATTGTTTCATATTGATACTATTTTTTTACGTTGTACTATAAAAATACGTTTTTTTATAGTGAGAATTAATACTGCAGAGCACTGCACTCTTACAGTAATCAAGCTGACATTCTAAACTTGTTAGAATTTATATTAATAAATTTTTGTTTAGATACAAACACACAGCCATCAATGGAGCGAACTGCTTCCGTCACTTTTTTTTTTATACTACGATGGTGGCAATCAAGCATACGGCCCATCTGATGGTAAATGGTTACCGTAGCCTATGAACGCTTGAAACACCAGGGGTATCACTTGCGCGTTGCCGACCCTTAAGAAACCTTAATATACCCTTCTTGAAAAACCCCATGCTGTAGTCTCGTGGGAAAACCTCGGCAGGAAGTTCATTCCACAATCTAAGTGTACGCGGGAGGAAACTCCTTTGAAACCGCTCTGTTCGGGACCACTTAGGTTCCAGTGTGTGGGGATGAATTCCCTGTCGATGGCGAGCGGTGCGGTGGTAAAAGGTGACTGTCGGCATCATGTGGAACAATTCCTCAGAACACAGTCCGTTGTATAATCGGTAGAACACACAAAGCGAGGCGAAGTCTCGCCTCAAGCTAAGTGGCTCGATACCGCCAGAGAGATTGGGATCATCGATCGGAGTCAAAAGGACCGAGCTGGTATCCAGGTGCTCCCGCCCAAAGATGAGAGCAGTACTCCATGTGCGGCCGAATCTGTGACTTATATAAGAGAAGTCTCTGGTCCGCAGTGAAGTACCGCCTCGCTCTATTGATTATTTCTAGTTCAATTAAATAATACTTACTGAATTAAATAATTTAAATTTGAAATCCAATTATTTTGGAATTACTGAAGTATGCTTATATATTAAGCATTTCGTCATATTAGCTACATTTATATAATCCTTACTTATGAGAGGAATCGAACCTGCGACCGTTCGAATCCTCTCATAGTACATAATGAATATTTATGAATATGATTGTTTGTATCGGTCTGAGTGTTTTCTATATATATGTATATATTTACAAAAAATGTATCTCTATGATTTATATCAGTTGTCTAGCACCCAAAACACAGGTCTGCTTAGTTTGGGGTTAGACTGCGATGTGTGAAGGGATATTATTATTAGTCATATTCATAGATCTCATATGAAAAACATTTTTTTAGATTAGGTCTCAACTTTACTTTGTAGTAAACTGTGTAAAGTCATCGTGCGTATTCTTACCTATAACAGCCGTCAAGCAGCGTACTTTTTAAGATGTATTTCAGTTTTATTTTTTTCATGGGGAGATAAGGCAACGAAACTAAAGGTTATCAGGCAAGACATCTTAGTCCTCTGGAATGATAACGCATGAGCGGTATCGCAGGCGTCACGTATTGTGATGTCCATATATATTAGCGTCAGTTACCATTTCCCCTCAGGTAGGCTATCAGTTTGTTTGCCATTCAAATTACATTAAATAAGGTTTACATAAATATTTTGAAGTAATATAAATATTAATAAATAACTACAATAATATTCTTGTTAATAAACTTTATTTATACAACGATCCCCCATGTTATGCTATTGGCTTGCAATCATTTTTCTATTAATTATAAACATCAATTTGCTACTATTGCGTCTTTACTTACGACGTTCATTCTATTAGGTATTTATTATTTACAACGAGTTTGAACATCTAGTTTACATATAGGTATAATGAATAGAGATAACCTAAGAACATTTCTCGAATTATAATATAAGTGCTGATAATGGTGCTCTTATTGATAATTGCTCCAATTATTACTTAAGAGTATCGCACCACAGACAAGAAGTAGTTTATTTCTATAATTTTTTAACGCTATTAGTTAAAGATTTTATTAATTAATTGATGTATCGAAGTTGAAATCGTTAATAATTATCATACTTAATGTACAGGGATGTAATAATATATAGAAAGCATCCGTCCCTTCGAGTTTCTCTTGTTCAAATTGTGCCTTTACAATTTGTAGACATTCGATATGCTGTATGAATTACTTACTCTTATATATAAGTCTACAAAAAAATTAATAACGGGAACTTTCGCCCAGTTTTGTTCGCCAAATTCTCACTATTTTCAATCATACTTTATTAGATTACGATTCACATTTAAATATACAAAAATATTCGTAGGCATAGCTCGATTCACAGGAGGTGTTCATTCACCCGATGAACACTTTAAGGAAATTAATATTCATCACTAATCACTCTTATTGGTGAATAAAGTATAGCTTTATTATAATTACTTTAATGATTCGTAAATTCTTATTGCCTTTAGAATGAAGTCTTTATGCCCTTAAAATATGGGATCTATTCCTCTGCGCTTTAAGCAAACATTTTTTAATAACCATTATATGATTGACAAATGGTCTTCAGTCGAATATATAAAATACCCAGTACACTGCATTAAAAAGGAGGAAACAGACAGGAAATATGACACGGGAATATGTGTCGATTACGTTTACGTCTCTAATTTTGGGCATCGATGCCTTGATCACCGTAGCACCTCGACGAAGAGCGTGTATCATCTTAGGTTTAGCCGTAGAACCATCTGAAATAAGGAAAAATAAATGTTTATTTACATTATAATTGGCTATCCACCCGAAGGCAGTGAAAGAGATTGCTTAGCGATAAGACCGCCTTTTGTATCAGTTAATGTATATTTTCAATTTTTTTTTATTCTGTAATTTGTACAATATAGTGCATAAATAAAATAATAACAACTGTTAGTGTCACATCGATTGGTCTCGATCATTCCAGATTGTTATAAATTAATCGGTCAGTGTTTAAATCATAAAAGTGTTCTTCTTGTGTTTACATGTATGAAAAACGACGAGCTAGTTTGTATAGTGTTTTGGAATTATTTTAATATTTATATGTTAGAATAATGTTCTACACAAGGAAATAAGTATTAACTTCTTGAATTTCTAGAATGAGGTCTTGTCCTGTATCGCAGATGTGTATGTTCTCGCTGAAGCCTCAAGGATGGCGGAGCTCCGACAGAGCTTGGTAAAGGTTTTGATCGTAACCCCAGCAGTGGCGACACCCTGCCAGTACTGCTACATTCTCGAAGTGCTATAATTTCTTCAGGAGATCGGGAACCTACGAAAAATAGACGTGATAAATTTTAATATACGTAATGAAATATTTTTTTAAAATTCCATTATCTGAAAACACATAAATAAAATTGGAAAGTTAGAAACAGACACTGTTTATAACTTTGACATAACCATTTTTTACTACATACATATGAATGTAAATACGATAAATACACCAAAATAACAATCTTTACAATTTTTGTCTGTCTGTCTGTTTGTCCCGGCTAATCTCTGAAATGGACCGACCAATTTTGCTGGGACTTTCTTTGGCAGGTAGCTCATGTAATACAGAGTAACTTAAGCTACTTTTATTTTAGCTAAATAAAGTTCCACGCGGACGAAGTCGCGGGTAGGTTTAACATGTGAAAAAAATATTCAAATTCTTTCTAGTTCTTGTTTTTTTATGAATATTCGTTGACATAGGTTTATACTATGATTTATCACATTTTATACATTGCCAATTAAGCCTGGAGCCTCAATAGGCAATAAGAGTTATCTGTCTCAAGACACAATAATGAGGAAGTCTCACAGTACCTCGTAATATTATTAGTATGGCAGAGAAATCCACGGCCTACCTTATACAAAGCAAGCTCTTTGATAGCTGAAGTAAGACTGACCCAACTTCTCGTTGCGTGCTACAATACTGACCACGACAATGTCCTGTCTTGTCCCACCTACACTACGCCACCAATGAGAAGGACATTGTAAACTACATACGGACCAAGAATAATAACATTGAGAATGACGCAGCTGCAGTCGAGTCACAACACGAGTAACAAAACGTTTGTGATCCTGCCCACCAACATGAAGGAAGGCTACTCTTGAAGGGGGTGGTGTATTGCCGCTATCGTGGCTGACTTCTGTCGTCAATGCCTTGATCACTTGTCAACAATTTATATTCATATGATTATATATATTTATGAGGTATATATGCTTAACTTACCCGACGAACATTTCAAGTCTTTCTCCACACTAGTACTAGTGGACATCTGGTCGCGGTTCTTTAACTTCGCCCTCTTTCTCGCCCTTGCACCCCAGTACGTGTAATTCACAGCGGCATACTCAAGCAGTGCCGCAAATACGAACACAAAACACATCACGAGGTAAATGTCGATGGCCTTCACGTACGAAATGCGAGGTAAACTACTCCTCACACCGGTACTGATCGTTGTCATCGTCAAAACCGTTGTTATACCTGAAGTTTTATTAGATTTCCGTTAAGTGCCATCCATACAATCGACAAGACAAAGTCGAAATCTAGGATTCCTCCATGCTCTTAAAGGAGGGGGTCTTGATTTCGTGTTATGTGTCATATTTTAATTTTAAAACCTAATATATCTTAAAATGTGACTAGCTTTGACATCGGGAAAGTAAGGTGATTTTTACTGAAATTAGATTGATTATATAATATTGTTTTCAAACGATGCACAGTATGCTACGTTATGCTATATATTCGCTATAACAAATATTTTTGTAACTGATACTACCTTCCCTTTCAGTCTCATGTCAATCCCATGCTAATTTTCTTCCAACAGTAATATATATATATATATTATATTACTTTGTATTGACGAGATATCGCGTAATACAATAATACCAATATAAAATTTTTTAGCCATAAAATTCAGAATCATTAACTTTATTGAGATAGAAACTTTTATTTTACGAACTTCAATATTCTTGTATTGAATTGAGTCATACCTAATTATTAAAAATTACAAATTGATTTGTTTGTCAGTTGATTTACAAATATATTGATTAAAATTACAAATATATTAATGCTTACCTAAAGCAACCCTAGCAGACGTGGCTTCGTGATTAATCCAAAAAGACACCCACGACAGCATCACAATTAATATACTCGGCAAGTATGTTTGAAACACGAAATAGCCAATATTTCTACGTAACTTAAAACTGAGCGATAATCTTTGGTAGACTCCCGTCGCCAACTTCTCCTAAAATGTTCAAGAAGTAATTAAAGAATAATATAATTACTGAAAATATAAAATTATCTACTTCTTAAATTAAATTAACTGGAAATGCAATGGGGGTTTGATGAATCTATTCTGCGATTGATAAGGTTTACTTCAGTTACCATATGTAATATTACGATATTAGGTTGTCCTCCACGTGGTTCCTCCTAGAAACCATCGTGATAAAATCCTGGTGAATTTGACACGATGAACTGACCTGACCTCATTGGTCATCCTATCATCCTCCACTGTACGGTGCTCCACCAGCGTAAACCGCTGGCGCAGGCGAGTGCACCATTCTATTATCATCCATAAAAAAAATTACGATTGAAATAGATAGCGTTTTGGAAACAAATAATATTTTGACCAGTAAGAAAAAATTTTTCATGTGTTATGATTCTTACCTTTCTATCATTAGTTTCGTGTCCTAATATAGTAAATTGTGGCAGTTCAGCGTCTTCTACTCCTCGCACCGGCGTCTCCTTCCAATACATCACCACGTCCGATACTGTGTAACCATCTGTATAGGAAGAGACTAGTTAGCATGCTGGTACTATCCAAATAGTAACAGATAACAAGGTACTAATTCTAGAAATGTTTGATGTCTTACTGCGGAGTCTATGTTTATAACATTATATAATATAAAAAAAAAATTGTATACTAAAACTAGTTATGTATAGTCACAGCAGAGTTAAATTCCCTTTTAGAAATATATAATAATTAATTATAATTTACTTAGTTGACATTTTTGTTACAAGAGTTTGATTTTTGTATTAAACGTGTATTTTTAAATATACACCTATTAACTATTCGGTGTCACTAGAGCTCTCGTGAATATTTACACATAAGCATACAAAGGCGGGAATTCTTTTGAAGGCACCTAATATTCTGTGCACAAATTACATAAAGCAAATTAATACCAAAAAGCTTTTAACGTATAATTCGGTTTAGTAACAACGCGCTAAAAGTTTACCATGTGCAAAATAAACGTTGTGAATATTTAAATCGTGCTTATTATAGAATATAATAAAAATAAAAGGTTAAAAAAATCTGTAGATTGCAATGTAGAAGGCGGGAAATAAAAAGGTGTTGCTTTACGCCGGTCTCCAGGGTAAACGTTCAAAGCAAGTGAAGTCAGGAGTCTAGATTGGACAGATTAGTTAGCAAATCAACTGTTGAAGCTCGGCCTGATGATCTATACAAGTGTATGAGTCACACAGCTCTCAATCTCGACGGTGCAGTTCTGGCTATCGAGTGGGTAGTAATGCAAATCCATCATGCACGCCAGGGTAGCGGTGAACCGCATTCCATAGGTGATGCTGCCGTCGCCGCCAAGTCTCACCAGCTTGTTGCGTTCCGTTACGTCGTGCAGGAAGCTGAAGGTGAAAATGGAATATTTTATAGTCACTTGATTGTTGTTTACTAAACAACTGTCGAGGTATCTATCAGATCTCGTATGTGTTAAATGTTTTAGGATAAGTAATGCTTGAGAAACTATTACTTTAAGTAAGTCTTTTTCAATCAATAATCTATATTAGAAATATTTTCTTCTAATCTTATCCCGAATAGGTAAATTTTATCTAATACTAATAGCCCATTTTGATTGTACCATATTTTCTATAGTACCTATATATAAAAAATATCACATTGTATCTTAACTCATTACGCATCTAGTATCTTCAATGTCCAGAGCCATCTGGAGACCCGGGTGCTTGCCACCATAAAATCACAGAAACTGCACTCTTTACAGAATTAGGTACTATAACGGTTACTAACCTATTTTTATCATTGGCGAAAAACGTGTCAGGCACCCAAATCTTATCCGCGAAATCTCCTGACAATGTCAGGACCTCGTCTGCGAAGCCGAAAGCAAGTCTTTCGTCCTTCCAATATTGGTTTAAGTAAAGTGTGATCGTGTAATCCTGAAATAGATATGTGAATGTAACATTTGCTCGATCGAAACCTGAATATCCTATGCGAAACATGCCTTATTTGATTTCCAGTACATCCTCAAGTGTTTAGAGCAAACATTTAGTTTTGTTTTCTCGAGAAAATATCTCGTTAAGTCGCGTGTGACAGTTGTTGTACAGATGGATTGCATTGCAGTCTAAGTTTAACCTAAATGGTACTTCCTTATATATTAGATTAGAATAGGCATAGTACATGCCTGGCATGTACTGCATATATTTTGTAGAAATATAAGCTACATGAGTGGGCGGTGACCTCTAGGAAACCGCGAGTGGCGCGGCCGTAGAATTTAAAGGCAAGCATCGATTGGCGGAGTCAGCACACCGCCCCTCGGCCACCGGCGACTCTCGATGTATGTCAAGTGACGGCCTTGCTCTCTTTTTGATGCTATTAAAAGCTTAATGAATTACGATGATGACCTGCTCAAGAACTAGCTCCTTCATGACCCAAAACCGTCCTCAGCAAAACTTAAAATCCGTGATATCACTTGTTCCTTGGATTACCAAGGAACACGTGATATCACGGAAGTCATTAGACTATCACTGTCTACAAATGGTGGTTATCATTTTCTCCTAAAGAAGATTTCCATTCAAAAAGCTATAAAAATACACGTGCCTAATAATAAACTCGAGAGGTTTCCGAAACACAATACTTTACTACCTACCTTATTGTTTATGTTTTCATTCCAATAATATTATATTTCAAAATGTAATTTCTCTTAACAACAGAGCCTCTTTCTCGGTTTAAGAATTCATATTCCCGTAAATGTAAAATTATGTATAATTTTCCAATGGTTTCTAATAACATTTCGTGAAATTCAATATATATTTGTGATTAAGTAGCGAATATTAAGAAGACGAGACCAATGAAAACCAATATACAAAATACATTGAGATAAGATATTCTATTCTGTAACTAATAAATAACTTACCATGTTAACTTCAGATATCGCGTCAAAACTAGCAATCGTCAAATCCATTCCAACAAACAAAGGGTCGCCTGAAAAGCAATAACATTTTATGCAACCAAGCAGCCACATGTCGACGTTATTATGCGAAGTACAAACCGCTGACAAATCACCGCATTTACGTACTAAATTCAATACAATATTGAATCTTTATGGTTCACGTCTTGCAATAACTTGCAGGAATATACATTAGGATGTTTCTCGAGGAATAACATTTCTGAAGTCACATTTATTTGTCGAGTGAATATTGCATTGCATAGAATGTAACCAAATAAGATTCATATTGCACTCTCAACTGCCAACTCGAGATATGATAGGTACGATGTACAAATACATGTATTAATATGCAAATATAGAGGCAGTATAATGAATAAGATATGAGGTATTTCGGTACATAAATTGTAGGCAGAATCTGACATTTATAGGTAACTAGAAGCAGTGATGCCAAATGTTCTTGGGGGGATGTGAGTAGGAATTAAAGAAATAACGTATGTTAATGTGGACTTAAAAACGATAATACTAACTAGTATAAGTTGCCAGGTTTGTGAAACCATCATAGTACAATCAAAACAAAAACAACATTATTATATTTTGAAATGATTACGTTCTATGAACATGAACTGCTAATTGAGATTCTTGACCAAAATTTATGTGGGAGCAGTAAGAGCTTTATATTGCTCTATGAGCAGGTCATATTCACAGAACGTAATCATTTCAAAATATAATAATGTCGTTGGATAATATCCGTCAGTTGTAAAGTCTATTTTGTTATTACTTCCTACGTATTTAAATTATAAAATGTTTGTTCAGTTTGCTTACCGCCAAAGTTGGGTCTGAGTCGGATGTCGTACCCATCAAGTATCCGTGTCACGGTGTGTGTCACATTTTCAAGGCGATCTTCCGCCGACACACGCTCGATTCTGTTTTTACAACATTTTCACAGTCATTATTGTTTAATACTCCGTCATATTAAAAAAAGATAACATAAAATCTTGCGTGGCAGTGTGGTCAGTGTCCTGGGTACTCTATCAGTCAGTGGTGAGCTTAAGCAATTTCGTATTTATGAATAGGTGTATGTAAGTATGACAGTCTCAGTAGTCTAGCGGTTTAGCACATCGCTTTATTTCTAATGGTCGCGGGTTAGATTCCTCGCACGATGTATTTATGATTATAATTATTTCTATTGGGCTGGGTGTTTTCTAAGTATATTATGTATGTATTTACAAATGGAACTCGAATATAAGTATTTATATCAGTTGTCTAGTACTCATAATACTAGATGGCACTGTATTAAATTACTACTTAATTATTAATTATACAGGGTTATTTATTTTTTTATTTATTTATCTATATACTACGGGGATGTCTGCCTGAATTCAAATAAAAAGTATTGCCAGGCGTTTATGCGGTATTGAGTAATAAAAATTCTAACTGCTTTACAAACTGTTCCAGTCTTTAATAACCACTACCACGGGTATGAATTACAATAAAAGAATTATTTATGATAATCTTGTGTGACTTTTAATTAAATTTAGCATACACATTGATTATTGATGTGTCACCAAAGAAAATAAATATCATTACAAATTTATGTTATTAAGTATTAATTACTTTACAAAATTCTATTTGTATTAAAAGTATTTTATAGGATGTGTATAGTGTAGAGTGAATATTAAGTGTATTTTTAAAATACAATAAAAACCTGCTACTATTACCCTGGTCTTTCTGTAAGTATAGTTTGCAAACTTAGGGCTGTACATGCGGATTTACTAATTATAATAATAAGCAAATTCTTCGTAATCAAACTCACTATTGCTATTTCAATCACGCTTTATCTAAAATTTGCGATATTCGATCAATTCCATTTGATTACATTTGCATACATCAGTGCAAGCATACCTTCCGCCGAAAATTCTAGATATGTTCACATAGAGAGCACTACAATACTGTTAACCGGGGGAAAGTGATTGTTAATAATGTGGACTAACTACTGAATTGCTGAGCAATGTACATACTAGGTCATACTGATCTCTATGCGGTCCCCCCTGGAAATCATCGTGATAAATTATTGGTGAATTTGCCACTTGAACGGTTAGTGCGGGTGCATTATTCCATTATCATATATAAAAAAGTACTATTAACCGAACTAGAGGGATAGTGATTAAAAAAGGTACTTACGTATTAAAAATATTATACGGTTAAAAATATTCTACATTAATAAATAGTTTTTATTAAACTTTTACTTCGTTAATTTGCTTTAATGGATTTTTATTTATAAACATCAGAGATGCATATATGAAAATGTTAGCAGTCTTCTAGTTGGACACTCGTGTGACACTTATGCTGCACAGTATTTTTAATTTTGCAGCATAGTTTACTGCAGCAATGTCCTATGAAAGACGTGATAAATTAATCTCATACCTACCTAACAAATAATCCGCAATCACTGAGCATATTCTACAAATTCAACCAACACTCTTTTATAGAGTAATTAACATGAAATTTTAAATAGACAGTATTTAATAAAAAAAATTTACCTTAAAAAAATAACAATCATATCGGAAAATTATTATAGGTCCAGTCATGTGTTCGAGTGAGATTTTTTACTATCTGCTTAGGTACTATTGATTATATTAAAAGCGACCTTTTCTAGTGTTTTGTAATCACTATTTTTAATTTAATATAGGTATTGATCATAAATTGTAAATATAATATAAAATTATTTATTGTTATATACTTTTATACAAGAGAAGATAAAGATTAATGGGTATCATTCTTCATATCCTTACTACATTGACGAATAGTGTAATAATGATGTTACTTGTAACTTTCTTATGTGTGACAAACAAGGAAACTAATCAAATTGTACTCCAATATATTTCACAAATTATGTAGAATTCCGTCATTCCTACATTAGATAGTACGGAAACATATAATTCAACATCACATATTTTTATAACACTGCGTTATTGATCATAATGACTATAAATTAAGAATTTAATAACTAAATACTTTTCAAATATTTCTAAAACATTCCATAGCTGAAGCTGCAAATTCTGTTCTCACAGAAATGAAAGGCAGCAACAATCAAAGCGAGAATATTTGCGGCGGCACACCGTACAGCCGCGAACTTACCAACTTGCCGACGGCCGACGGTATGTCTTTGCCCAGGCCACAAATATTGGCTACAAAAATGTTTGTTTCACATTACAAAATTTAATTCAATATGTAACCTAATTTTCTGCTTGTTCATTAGTTTACACTTGATCATAGAGTCAAGTCAGAAACAAAACCGTACCACATTTCTAAATTCAGTCTTAAGAAAAATTTTGTTAATATGAATCTAAAAATAAAAATAATTGTAAATTGTAATAAAAGTCCTAAGCTTTCAACAACTAAAGTTTCCAACGTATTATTTTTACTTGACCTTCTTAAACAGTTAGTTAATTGATTTTATATAAATATTTGTTTCACAAATAACTACTTAGAAATTCACTTAAGTATTAAAACTTTTTAGTAAAGAGTAACTCGTGTTATTTAAAGGTTACTTACTGTGCTCGAGCGATGCTTATCACTAATGGCAGCATAAGAAGCGCGTGCAGGCGACGGTGGCGCGCGCCGGGCGTGCGACGCGCGCTCATCGCGCGGGACGCGGCACGCGCATCGCGCACTCACCGCACGTTCTCCACCTGCCTCGCCGTCCTTCTCATCACACGCACTGACCACATGATGTACCTTGTAAAGTTTTTTGGAACTTTTATCGCATTTCAAGTGAACCGAGTGTGACGAGCAGGTTATCGCGATCGCGATCTGCTATGTTGTCTGTTGGAGTGTAGCATGAGCGGTTGCTGCGACAGCGGCACACGGAGTGTCGCCGCGCGTGCGCTCCGACTCAAGTTCCTCGCTCTTGCGAAGTGCTCACTGCGAGTTGCGAGTGAACGGCACTTTGAATCTGCGAAACTTTCGGAGGACTACCTCTACCAGGATGAAGCGTTATGTAAACCTTTGATAAGGGCAACAATTTGTTTGTTTTTACAAACGAATTTGTAGTACTGGCTGTTTTCGTCTATGTCTAGATAGCTTATGCTCGTACTCGTGATATAATCTATCTTAATATTAAATTTAATTATGATCCGTTTAGCGGTATACCCGTAATAAGGATAACAATGGCCAGAAACGCTGTCGAGTTTACAGTGTCAGTATGGGTTAGAAACAGACTTACGACAGCCTTTTGTTGTTATGTAACTATTATATATGTTTGTTATCGATGTAGTATATAAAGGTACCATAAAGGGTCTTTTCATGTAGTTTTAATGCCGTAGAATATGACTTCAATAATTAAAGGACAACACGTTAGCTAATTATAAATAGTCCATTGAATGTTAACTTCATCATTATGATTATGTTTAGTAGCTATAATAGCGGGCATAAAATTAAAGGATAAACCCACGGTTACAAGCGCTCTTGTACTTGTTGTGTTTAGTTTGAAACGAAATCTGATTCAACATTTTCTATAATGTTAGTAATTTAGTTAATAAGGATAGTCCTATAGTGGCCATTAAGGCAGGTCCCTTATTTGAATTACTCACCGGTTCCGAAACACATGTAATATTTAATTTAATATTTCAATTCTATGTATTTTCTATTTTGATGTTCACCACAACAAAATAACGTGTGAAATGACATTTGTAAGTATAGTATATTTTTATTATCTATATTTTTAAGTAGTTACGACTGATTTATTTTATACATACCCACTATGAGACATTTATACACCGTCTCCTAGTCCGTATTCACATAAAATCATATACATAGTTGTATAATTTATGATTAAATTAGCACTATGCTCATTTAGCTTTGCTTATTCTTCTCAGTAAATCTGCATTTCAAATGTGGTCGTAGAATAAGATATATTTAAGACTTTTTAATTAAATTCATTTAAATTTCTATTCATTCATGCCATTGACAAGCGTATACATGACTAGCATATGAAAATCATTCTAGAACTTGCAATGGTACATTAAACGAGCGTGTCGCATTCAGGCAGGATGTGCTGTCGTGTCGCCAGAGGTGTTACTAGTACGTTGGATTCGACTGGTGCGGAAGTTATTTGCCGGCTCGACCGCGCGCGCGTCCGCCTACAGATTAGAACGGCGGTGACGCTCCAAACGCATTCCGTGATAAACATTGCAAGTTTGCAACATGCAACCATTATACATATCTATATATAAATACGTGAAGCAAAATCTTTGTACCCCTTTTTACTAAAATTGCTAAGACAGAGGAATTTGAAATTTTATGAGTATGAAATTATTATACAAGCGGAAGTTTGTGAGTGGATAGGTAGATGTATGGATGTTTGTTACTCTTTCATATATAATATAACTTATAGAATAACACATAGGCTATAAATTTAACGCGGGTGTAACCGCGGGCACAGTTTATATGGAGGAGTGCAAAATGATATTTTTTTTAAACCATACATTAACAATACCCACATTAAATCAGTAAAAAAACCTTACACACACTAAAAACATAGTGTGTAAAATGGCACACACGCATTGTAATCTTTTGTTAAATGGACGAAATGCGACTATCTAATCTAATTTAGACATGAACGAAATCACGGAAATGTCAAGTTAATTGATCACACAATCTATTGACTTAAGAATATAAATATTAAGTTAATAATAATTTCTTTTATCGAAAAGTCATAGATTCATTATATATATGTAAATGTAAAACAAACATTATGACTACAAATAAAAATCACTGAAGCAGATGACAATTATTCATACCTGAGAATCCATTCGTGTATTTTTTATATTTCACCGGATATGATCGTTTTCCCAATCTGTTTCCAGATCAATAGGTAAATACATGTTATAATAAGACAAGAAACACATTACACTGTCGACTGCGTCACCTAGTATGTAATTATTTTTAAGGTGACTTGATTACTGAAAAAACTTTTAACACATATATACATATATAAGATGATCTATTCGCTTGATATGTTGACAGATAATAAGTATTGACAAACATTGTGTAGGATTTAAAGCAATCACCATACGTTTTATAATTAGTTCTTACCTCTCGTGTGAGAATGAAACCGAAATTAAATCTATGTATCTAACGTTTTTAAATAGATGAGTTTGCAAAGTTTCAACTGTCACAATATTGATTTGAGTAAGGCAGTCTTAGACATGGGGATGATATCCTCAATGAATCTATTCAGTTGTGTTAGCAAAATGTGTTACTAAGTGATACAAGCCAGCACAACCCCTTAACAACGAGAGAGACGACACTGTATACTAAATGTGAAAGTGATTTTGTTTGTTACCTCATGTTGCTCTTACGGTTCAACGAATCTTAACGTAGTTTTATGTTGAATTATTTATGTATTATAGAATTTGGCAAAGCACAGAGAATTTAAGGTATGGGCGATATTTTAGCTCGATTATAACTTTTGTGAATTTTTTAATTTATTTAATACAGCAAAACAACTTTTTTACACAATTGATTCATCACAAATGATTGTAACATTTACGTCACGTACTGAAACAATTTTTCAGAATTAAAACAGGCGATGGCTTTAATAATGAATATATGTAAATTTTGTAAGCATATCCTTATGAATATATAATAAACACTGATATAATAATAATCCTAATATGTTACTATTCAAAGTTGGCAACATCTTCGCAAAAGACATTACAATTGTAAATAATGCACTAGAATAAATGTTTCACTTCTATATTAAACTACTTTTTAGATTAAGAAATAAATATGTGATTCGTTTATTATTTATATAATAATAACACATTGTGCTTAATTAATCACTTAATATTTTTAAGAAGTTTGTTGTATTTACCCCTACATTTCACATATGGGAACGACAAGCAAATAAAGACGCAGTGTTTAATAAACAAGCAGTGATGTAACTTAATATTCATTTTGCGAACAGGTATGACCTATAAATAAGAAAAAAAAATCAACTCTTAGTGATTGCTTATCCCACACAGTAACAATAATGGTAAGTGCAAGACTGTACGCAGTCGATGATAGCACAAAAACTATGGACATCTTGATGACAATTAAAATGAGTGGTTTCATGAGTTCAAGTTTAAGAAGCTTCATTTTTGGTAACATTCTACTATTTTTGTCGTTTTTGGTATTATTATTAATTTTTAATCACTTATTTTGTCGACTTTAAATAGCAACACTCGTCTAAACTTTGTTAAAATTCGAAGTTACTGTGCAGATAAAAGATATTAAGAATTAGTTTTTCAACTATCGTGAGCGATTGATGAACTTGAATATATGAAGAATCTTGATCGTCTAGAAACATTCAGGCTCAAATTTTATTAATGCGAATGTGTATATGTATACCTGTTTATTATGTTTTCACGGCTAACTGCTGAAAATACATTTTGCTTGAAGATTAATGGCACTATCGACTATATATAGGCTATCTTTTGCCTTTTAATGGGTAATAAAACATATGTACGTATTAAATAATGCATTTAAATAATAATAATTGTTCTTTAATCTATCACTTATTAATTTGGCCTTGATAGTTTAACAAATTTTAATTCAAAATAGCGCGTTAATAATATTAATATCCGCTTTGTGACACTTACAATGTGCTATTGTACTATGTGTCATTTACTTTCAGTATGTTATCAGAACACTGAAGACCTTGGTACCTCAAAGGGATTGAAAAATCTTCGCTATATAGACACGGGGGCGGTTTGTTGAGCCGCGAGATTGGGGTAGGTAATGATGGCAATTTGAAAGAGACGTGCCACACTATCACACCCTTACCTCTGACTTCCAGCTTTAAATAAAAATAGGATTGAACTTGTGATTTACGAATTTACTGAGCCTAAAAATGCGAGTGTTCAATTTAGAAATACGCAAATCGGTATTTACTACGAAAAACTTACATGGACATTAAAAATGATATGTTTATAAATTAATTAATTAAATTTTATCTTTATACAATTTCATTCATAATAGGTCTATTGCCAATAATTTCTTTTGGTAGCTAACAAATTATGCTAAAAACCTATTTTCTATTCCACAGTAGTTAATCAGCAACATGATTAACTATTTTAATTTTAAATAGATGTACCTAATAGTCACATGTTCCTTATATACCACTACTACAAGAAAATTGTTAACTATTATTATTACATTAATATCACTATATATATTTTACATGAACACTATGAGTAAAAATATTCATTGCGATCCCAGAGGTAAAAATTTTGCATTGCCATTTCACAAGGTTACAGTGTTATGTGTCGTAATTAGTTTACTGATACTAACTGATACTGCTAAATTCAATTTACTGCCATATATCAACAATATAAGCCGTACATAGCTTGCTTGGAGTGATAAAGAGGTATTCACGATTTTGTACAGAGCCTCCTTTCGGTAAAAGGAAAAACATAAAATTATTATACTAACATCTGATGAAGTCGCAGTACATACTTCGAGATTTCGTGGTACACGTATAGCCTGTGATAATAGTCCAAGAGTCCCTGGACGAACATTACTGTTGGAAATGTGGGGGATTCTATTTCATACTGACATATGGTGTATATGCAACTAGGTATATGTAAGAATCATTAGCACTACATTTTTTTCTCACTTTTAAGTATGGTTAAGGCGTGTGCAATATAGGTATTATATAGAGATGTATAAGTATCTTTAATTATTTTTTATTTCCATAAAAAAAATAAAAGTATTAAATACATGTGTAATAAATAACTATCAACTACAATCTTTAAATTACCGCTGTAAATATGTATTGTATTAAATAAATAGAGTTTGAGCAATTAGTAGACACTCAACTTACAGATATAGTTGTGTAAAAACATAATTTAAGAAATATAAACAAAATCGGATTTACAAAAATAACATGACATTACAAAAAATAAGTTGGTAATGATATTTACGAATAGGTGTTAGGTATCAGGTTAACTATATGCTACGTACGAGTAGATTCGTAGCATTGTCTACGTATGTACGCCCAATTACGTAGCAATTTGTAAACGACTATTTTACATTATAACTGCGGTGCATTTGGGTCAATGAAAAATATATATGGTATAAGAACTTTTGAAATAATTTAGTTTATCATTCAAATAGTTATGTAATGCATATCGACACATGAATTAATATATTTATATTAACGTGTACTTCAATTTATATATTTAATAAAATTATAGTTTATTGTACGGACTTACTATGTTAGTTATTATAGTCTATTATTTTAACTAAATGTTAAAACGGCTACAAATTTACCTAAAGTATATGTCAGCATTTGGTAACTGGCTATCATATTTATTGTAATCGCCACTGAAAATGTAAGACCAGGATAAATAACAGACTCTAATACCGTCATTTAGACGGTCCTCACATGTGAAGCGCAAAAGTTTTATAAAAATATCTCATTTTCAGTATAGTAACAGAGACTTTTATCATTTTTACTGTGACTCGTGATTTTTTGATATAAAAATTACATTTGTAGATACATACTAGCAATAAAACGAAGAAAACAGAAACATAACAATTAATATTTCTATTGTTTCTGTTTTTGACAAGGACAATACACTGATTGAGATATCTTAAAACTCTGTTTTGAGGTATCTTAACCACATTACTAACATTTATACGTGTTTATATCAAAGTAGCAAAGTCTTTTTTATGTTTAAACTGAGTTTAGCGTATCATAACATTTATTTACCAAATAACTAACCTTTGATCTTCGACAACTGTAATTATAATTAATTTAAATTCATGTTAAAGAGAATAGATAGATAAATATAACAAGATTATAAAAGTTATAAAGTTTTTCAAGAGGAGAAAATGAAAATTTCCATTTCAATTAATCTTCTGAAAGTGAGATTTGATTTAAAGGCAAAATTTTATAAATTAAAATTTTATTAATTACACTGGATGTCTCGGAAATTTGTATTTATCCTCTTTTCTTCATCTCTCGTTAAATTCATATTTATCTGCAGTTACAATGATATTCATGTTAGTTAAAAACGATTGCAGCTTTAATCGAATTGTGCCATTTATATAAATACATTTGGTTTGAAGGGATTTCCTTAATACGATGGCATCAGTTAGAGGATCGAGTGATTCCATTATAAATGGAGGAGTGGCAGAGAACGGGTGGCACAGCGGCCGCCACCGTACTCGCAAACCAATCATCCGCAGCCTTAGGGATCATGCCATTTGCTTGCAATTGTAACACTGTACCGTTTTGCATATAACTTACCACACATATATTGTCACATATGTTGATTGTATTGTCATATTTAGATAATGTACAATGTTCACAACCGCTTGTGCTTCTTTTGAAATTGTAAGCTCCTTAGCCCATACTGAACCGCATCTTAAACTTATTGTAAACCGAACTCAAGACTGTTTTACTCACACCGACTTATTATGTTTTCATTATTTTTTCCCAGTACTGTGAGACGTATACTATTTTTTATGTTGTCTTTATTACACAAATATGTACATAGAAATTGTTCGAATAGGCTAGCATATAAATTCTACAAAACATTTATAAGTGATTTGCTTGTATTCATTAACATTTAAAGGAATTTGTATAAGGATTGGTAGAAAAATCTCAAGTGTGGTTTATGATATGCGTTGTAAACCCATCATTTTCTATCGGTAGTATACTTATTAGACACTATTTATTATTACTATTAATTATCTACATATTTATTTTTTGATACGAAAGTAGTATGATATTTAATAATTTTTATTAGATTCCAGTAATAAATGTCGGCATATTAACTTGGGAATTACACAAGTATCAATCAATAAAATTTGAATTTTCAATTATTGGCTAGTGCTGAATTCCAAGTTCACTTTTGTGGCATATTTGATTTCGGCCGTATTCAGTTACCGCGCATGCGCGTGGCTCGTCCGTGAGAAAATCAAGTCAGATGACGAATCCTACAAAACGTTGAACATCTTTGCCGCACGCCGACTGCGGCGCCACAGACGCGCAACACAAACTAGCCGCGGTAACAACACGCAACAACACTTTCAAAGTACACAAGCACCCTTAAAGTACAACAAAGTAAGGTTGAGATAAGCGCAAAATATTCTTAATGCGTACAAACATGTTGACGGCAAGTTTCGTTCTAATACTCTTCTGGTGAGTACTCGTAGTGTCATTTTCATTATACATAGAAACTAATTACCTACCTAATTGTAAATTACGTACCTAACGTCTGTTAAAAAGATTATAAAAGTAAAAATAAAAAATTCAAACTAATATAAAAGAAAAAACATTGTAATAATACTTATTTGTATTAGACAAATATAACAATCAACTGATTTACATTATTCTTTTACTTATAAAAGGCTAGACGATCAACATCAGCTATATTCTATTTTGAATAACATTAAGATGAATGTAACACTCGTAGAAACCAAAGCTGGGTTATGTTAAATAAAGGTAATAGCTAAATAACGTCAATATATAACGGTAATAGCTAAATATTAATATTAAGTAACACCAAAAGATTGTTGAAAATGGAAACGAAACTGTTTTGTTTAATTGAAATTTTCCTAATGGCTGGACCTTCGTCAAGAACCGACTTTACGCCTCCTTTGTTTAGTAACATGGACGTCAGACGTTACATGTAATTGTTTTCTTTTGTTAACATACTACTTTCAGGAACAAAATATCAATAGATTACAATGTAAACATTACGTGTCGTGGTAAATTTATAAACTGTACCAACTGAACACTTAACTTTCGTCATTACACTGACAGCAAAGACTGACTTAAAAAGATAATAAATTATATTCCATCTCACTTTCATTATTCTTAACTTTAATTGTTATTTTGAAACAAATTATCAGTTTAACAACTTAGTTAATTTATAACTCATAATTTTGAAAGTCCATTGTTTGGTATAGAAAGTAACGATAAATAAATATAGTTCTATAGAGGATGTTATTCAACACCAAAGTTTTTACATTCGTCATGGTGTCATAGTCAATTTCTTTTATATTGAACTTATTAATAACCAAACATATTTACATATATATAACTATTATATATATTATACATAACAATGTGATGGCCATTTTTTATTAAGTTGATAAAGAATTTTGGGCATATATTTAAAAATAATTTATATTACCTGCCGAATATACAGAGGACCTTTGCCAATCTCAAAATGACAAAATTACTGCTTTTGGGAATAATTATTCAATTAGTATACGCCTCAAGTATATACAATGTATAAATATAATACTTACATGACAAGATGAAAAGGCATATGTTAAATATTGTTACAATTAGGAAGGTTTTTTAATTATCGAGTACAAGGCCTGACATCATCCTCCATCAGTCGTCTGGAATGGCTACTCAAGACCAACATCATGAGCGTGCTGTTTTGGTACATAGTCCTCGATTGCGAGTTACTTTCTGGTCTGCTGTCAGGTTGTTTGTAATTCCAATTACATGAAAACCTGACAGTCCCTATAACGCTCGTTTTTCTCCTTTGAGCAATATCTTTCTGTGGACTACGGTTTTACCTTTCCCTCCGTACCCAAACAATCCGTACAGAGGGATAACACCCTCTTTGTACATAAAAAACCTCCTACAACCACATTTTAACTATTAGTTGTTTCAAATAGCTGAATTGAATCGAAGGGACATATCATTGACCTAGTTAAATTAATTATTTGGTCACTTTTTTTATGAATAAGGATTTTTTATCTTCGAACTGATTCAAAGACGGTTAGATTTTATTCAAATTATTAAAAGTATATAAGACACTCACAACATTTTTATCGTACTATATACTAATGGTACTAAGAGAGCGGTAACGTCGAAATGGCAGTGTGCAGAACATGTAGCTCGAAAATCTGACTCGTGGTATAAGGACCTATTGAATTGGTGGCCATAAGATCGCAATAGATCTGTAGAAAGGCCACAGATGAGATGAAAAGTTGACACAACTACCGTGGCGGGGTACAACTGGATATCAATTACCCAAAACAGAATAAAATGGAGAGGATTTAAGAAGGATTTATTTATATTTAGATTTATTTCTTGTCTAACCAGAAATACAGCTTAAGAAGAAGAAGAATTATAAAATTAAATTATGGTAATAATCATCCACATGAAACCATCATGGAAATGGTAACATCAAATCATTAAAATTATGTTGTAGTATAAAATATAATATACCTAACTAAAGATAATGTGTATATATTACAAATTTATTAATTACCATATAAATAGTTATTTAAAAATAAAAATAAATAAATGATAAGCTACTTTTTATAACGGTTCCATACATTTATACAAAAAAGAAAGAGCATATCTAAAATATAGTCTGGTGTTATGCGTGTATAATCAAAATGTATTCCATAACATCATTTTCTCGTTACCGTGAATAATAGTTTTGTGTCGTCGGTGTCGGTTATATGTAGCTGTTACATCCTTTCAATACATGAGGGGAATGTAGCAAGTAAATTTTCTGTAAGGTGTCATATTTAAATTATTCGCCATTTTATATCTAAAAAAATTTACATAGCGTTCATGATGTATTAATTATTGTATTTGGGTAGTCAGAATGAACTAAGGAACGCCTAATACTATTATACAAATTATACCTACCGTTTTCGATTTTATTGCAACATATTGCCTAGGGCGTTCCTCACTAGCATTTGTATTCATTCTCTATAGTTAATATTCTATCATCGAACATTTTAAAATGTCCAGTCTTGCTCAGAACCACATTCTCAATTTGAATGCATATAACCATTACTTTTCTTAAAAATAAACACAAGCGATATTGTTTTTTTTTATATAAAAATACATACCTACACATTCTTCTTATAAACCGACGAATACGTCACCAATAAATGCATTCAAGTGCGTAATACAATTTAATATTTTTTTATAATGACACAACGTGCAATATTATTGTAATTTATTTACTGAGAATGACGTACGTAATATACGTAGATACATGATATGTGTCTTGAACAGTGGTGTACGCTCACTTCTTATATCCACCCTCTTTTGTTTTCTCACTTTGGTTATAGGCTGTTTATTTAATTAGAAATAATCAACTTATTTTCTTTGTTTTAGTAACTACAAATGTCATGTTTGTAATTACTGTTATTGTACATTGTATTAGTAGTATAAATGAATTTACAAATGCATAATAATTGATAATGTCACTCTGTTCAATTATTATTATAAGTATGTATTGTAAAATCTGGTGATGACCTAAATATATAAAAATCCTCTCCCAAACACAGTCTTTATTCAAACATTTCAATCTACATTTTCGTGTTTTTTTTTTATTAAGCCATAAAAAATAATTATAACATGAACGTAAATATATGGATGATGATAAGTATATATGTACTTTACTTTTTCGTTCGATCTGTAATATCACAGTCTTATAAACAAAGTTACGTAACTTCAGAATAAAGTTTACTATAAATTTTATGCAACGAGGCGAGTTGTGATATTCTAAAACATACCTGAAATAAGTGTTGGACTGATACAAAGGACGCGGGAACTATCTCTAAAGTTATCCACGATCCTCCCCTAATTCTATACCTTACCAAAAGCTATGTTAACGAACACAGTAAACTTTTAATGACTTCTTTGAAAATCATTAATGAGGTAAACAGCGCCGCTTTTCGCTATACCTACCGCTTTTGTCGAATATAATTCACACCGTAAATGGTACTTTCGTATTTAATAAACAATAATTAAACTTGAAATGATGTTTATAATTTGTTGATTATAAACTTCATTATATGTGTATAATAAATTAACGAGGCAACATCATTAAAGACTCGCATTTATCATGTTGTACATATAATTGCTGCCATCTTGCTATTAGATTTAATATTAAATTAATTATGTTGTATAATTTAAGAATTTATGTTCTAAAATTTATTATATGTATATTAAGTTTCAATACAATATTATAAACATCAAAAGGAGATTGCTTTTTACCATTTCAAGGCATCTTCAGGATTAAAGCAATATTTATAATACGCTGTTAATGTATAGGCATCGATGACGGTTACCACTGACGACTTACCATCAGATGACTCGTCATTTTATTTACCATTCCACGTACAAACATTTTAAAGTAGTACTCTATATTCAAAATCATATCTGAAATATAACCACAATCAACGAAACCTAATACAATATTGAACATAGGTAACTACTGCTACATATGACCATGTATGCAGAATAATTCAAATTGCAGAACCTACAGAATGATATCTTGAGTACTTTGGTCTAGGTATGCATTTCCAAACCTCCTCAAAATTACCAATCCCTACCACAAATGCTTCACGTTCCAATCTCGTCATAATCCTCGAAGTCCACTCCGGTTATTTCCTTTTATCCCTATCTAATTTAGAATTTCAATTATTCATTGTGAGGCTCACTTTGACTTTTAATAAAACAAAGCAATTTCATTCAGTTTCATAATAATAGAATATATTGTAATAATTATTAACTATTTATAATATTAATATCTACTATTTGACTAACTCAATAGATATAGGATAAAATTACTTGAACCAAAGATTATTGGAAAAAAATATATACCCCACTATGACTAAAAATGAAACTTTAATAGTTATAAATGACAGAGTTTAAAAAAGAAATGACGTATTTGTAAAACATAAATATTGTCACGATTTAGCAAACGAAATAACCAATGATATGAATAATTGGTATTTATTTCTAACTAATTTATAATATAACACATATAATATGTATGTAATAATAATAAGGGGTTTAAGTCCAGAGTTACGAACACAGTCAATGTTTTAACATTACATTTAACAATATAATTCATTAGGATCCATTTCTAAATGTCCATTGAAAATAAATCTTTGTGAGCTAAGACTGTCAAGTACAGGTACTATTCCAATTTTCTTATAATAGTTGCGGAAAATACCTGGAACGTTCATTAGTAACTAAGCTCAGTAATTGTTGATTAAGAAACGAATGGTAAATTTCTTGTCAGCGTTTGAATATTGAATATAATTTATTTTATACTATCAACATGACGATAACGGACCAAGGACCACATTGTCCGTCAAATTACTCTATTTTAATAGTTTTACCAGAATAGGTAAGATACTATA